GAGCGGAGCTGCGTCGGGTCGTTCTCCTGCTCCAGCAGGCAGGTCTTGCCGTCGACACTGATGCGCGTCGCAGCCGGCTCCTCCTTCCAGTAAACGTTGTGGCTGCGACCGGCCAGCAGGACCAGCAGGCCGCCGTCGGCCAGGGCCCGCACGCCCACGGAGCACTTGGATCCGTTGATGAAGACGTGGTAGCTGTCGTGGCTGGCGCGCGTGGCGGTGAACTTGTACCGGGCGCCTTCGTAGATGAAGTCGACGGGGAAGACGGTCTTGAGGACATCCTTCGAGGGTACCTGACCCTTCTCCAGCCCCTTGCGGTACTCCTCCACACCAGCTTCGCTGGCCTGGTGCGCCTTGGTGACGGCACCGCACAGAACCGCGACGATGGGATCGGGGCGCTCCGCGGTCAGCTTGTTCGTGATCAGCTGGTCCAGCCACCCGGTCGTGATGGTGTTATCCTCGAACGCGGGCGTCTCCAGCAGCTTGATGAGGTATTCGACGGTCGTCCGGAAATCACCGCGGATGCTCAATTCCTTGAGGGCGATGACCATGTGCTTGCGCGACGCCGAACGGTTCTCACCGTAGGCGAAGATGTGACCAAATTGACTGTCCGAGAAGCTGTGGATGCCACCCGAGGTACCGACGGAGAAGTAACCCCAAACGTTGGACGAACTCCGGAAATTCAGCTCGTGCATGGTGCCGCTGGACGGCTTGAACCCCTCACCGGGGTCCTCCGAGGTGATGCGGCACGCGGTGGTGTGTCCCTTGGGCTGCGGGCGACGCTGAGTCTGGAAGCTCTCCTCGCTCGAAAAGTCAAAGTCGAGGTCCGAGGTGGTGTTGGGATCGACCCCGTAGAGCAGGCGGATGTCCCGGATGCGGTGGAGGGGGATACCCATGGCGATCTGGAGCTGCGCGGCGGGCAGGTTGACGCCGGACACCATTTCGGTGGTCGGATGCTCGACCTGGAGACGGGGGTTCAGCTCCAGGAAGTAGAACTTGTCGTCGGCGTGCGAGTAGAGGTACTCGACGGTACCCGCGGAGACGTAACCGACCAGGCGACCGAGGCTGACGGCGGCCTTCTCCATCGCCTGGAAGGTGGGCGGTTTCGCGATGGTCACGGGCGCCTCTTCGATGATCTTCTGGTGACGTCGTTGCACGGAGCAGTCGCGACCAAACAGGGAGATGTTGTTTCCGTACTGGTCCGCCAGCAGCTGCACTTCCAAATGACGGGCATTCCCTGCGAGTTTCATGATGAAGATGGGCGAACCGGGGATCTCCGCCGCGGCGGCGTTGTACAGGGAGACGAAGTCCTCCTCCTTGTCGACCTTGCGGATACCCTTACCGCCGCCACCTTCGGACGCCTTGACCATGACGGGGAACCCGATCTCCTTGGCCTTCTGCAAGCCCTCCTCGGGGGAGAAAGTGCACCCCTTGTTGTAGACATCGTCTGTGACAGTGACGATTCCATGCTTATCGACCGTGACCTCCTCGACACCAGTGCCGGACCACGGGATGCAGGGCACCCCGGCGTGTTGCGCGACAATCGTGGAGGAAATCTTGTCACCCAGCGAACGCATGGCGGAGGCCGGGGGGCCAATGAAGATGATCTTCTTCGGCGAAGCCGCCAGCGACTCGGGAAGGCGGGGGTTTTCGGAGGCATGGCCCCAACCGGCCCAAACGGCGTGCACGTCCATTCGCTCGGCGACATCGACGATCAGATCGACGTTGGCATAGTTGTTGTTATTCGTCCCACCGGGAACCTGACGATCTAGTCAGCAGTCTGTCCCCATCTCACCGGCCACATTGTTTTCCATACCTCAACATATTTATCGGCCATCCGGATGTAGTCTGCGTTGGCGTGCAGATCTTCTGGCGTAGCCATGACCGTGAACTGAATGGCACGCTCATCGCCGAACGTCTCGTAGGCCCATTTTCGGACGGAGCGGATCTCCTTGACGGCCGCGATACCGTTGTTGGCAATGAGAACCTAGATGCAACCATTGTTAGACATGAATTCCACCTTTTGCTTCCAACGTCGCTCAGAATGAGGCTCACCGAACTGATGACGGAGTGACCGTTGTGTTGAGCGACAAAGTCCTTGACTTTACTCGGGGGTGCGGCGTCCAGATGGTTACCGCCGATGAAGTGAGAGGGAATGTCGGTTTTGGCCGCCAGCGAGCCGGCGAGGCCAGATGTGGAAGAATCGTTAGGGGCGCCCATGATGCAAGCCGTGAATTATGTGTCGTGAGATCTCAAAACCATGCGAGATCAGCCCGGCAAAAGATGTGTGATCGGAGGTAGAGAACACGAACTATGGCGGTAGGACGGAGGGGAGTTTGAGGATAGAGGCGTCAGTCGATTGTCCCGGTGGTGGCGATAGTAATACAGGGGATCAGAAGGACGGCATCAAGCGATGAGGGGAGACTGAGGGGGAGAGAATTGGCCGGGAGAAGAACGAGGAATCTGACGGAAGAAAATCCGGGGGCTAGAAAGAGCGCAGCAAGGCAGAGTTAGCGTCTGTCAGATGAACGAGGATATGACTTGAAGATCGTATCTTGTATACATGGACGCCATTGGGCGGGCATCGCAATACGACAGTGATCTAGGATATGGAGGGGGGGAGATTACGTACGATGAGCACCTCGAGAGGATCAAGATTAGTAGGAGTAAGAAAGGATAGATGATAGTAGTGAGAGTGAGGGAGGGAGGAAGAAGCACAGCAGAGGAGGAGAGAAGAGGAAGAAGAAGATAGACCGATGGATAGATAGTAGTAGTACCTCCGACCAGTCGGGACTACTTCGTTACTTACTTACTTAACTTACCTTACGGATCTGGCCCAGAAAAAAAAATAATAAAAAGGAACCGGAGGGAAAACCCACCGCCGACGACTCCGCTAAACCCAAAGGAGAAAGTCATCTCCCCAACTAAACATCTGCTTCGCTCTCCTCCTTTCCCACCACTTTTCCCTCTGACCGTGGGACATTCCATGGAAATCCAGAGAATTCATTCTCTGGAACCAACGGGACTCTCCCATGTGGATGCATATTTCCCTGAGTTCTTGGCAGTCCAGTATTACTCGTTTGATGGATACCCTTTCGTTTCTCAATGCCTCCTGCTGGGTCTTCGTAGTTCGGTCCTGGTTGCCCTATGACTGCCTGATTTATCAGGAATTTACATCGTTCCTCCGGTCGTCCGCTAGACACATCGCCAATCAATCAATGTATCCATTCCAGTCCCAGTCAAACTCCAGATATACTCAATGACAACCAACAGATCTGACCGTCTACGGAGTCACCGCCGATCGTCTCCCAAACGGCACTAAATTAAAGGCCGAGTCGATCAACCGGGAGTACAGTATTGGATTGAATTATCTCCAAGACTCCAACTGCTCTCAATCAGACTCATGAACTACATACTGCCTACTGAGTAGGCAGTAATAAACCGATGAAATAGCCCATCAAACAACCCGATTTGAAAACCACAAACCTCCATCGGCGTTGCCCATCACCACCGCCGAACGCTATATCGGAACTCGGCAGTCAACTAACCACCTACCTAGTATAGCGTCCCTCACCGATGATGTAAGTCCACTTGTTGACGGCACACCGAGACTAAGCCTCAACGGGACAATTTGTTGAAGGACCCACAGCGACACTTGGCCCTAGAAAGTGACCAGGCCCGTTGGGAGTTGGGAATTTGGCAGAGAGGGATCGCCCTCACCAAATCGTGAGCTAGAAATGGAGATTTATTCTAGTCTGTCCACTGAAGAGGGTAATGTTTTTAATCTTTACCTGGCTGGGGCATAGGTGTAAACTCGTGCTTTTAATTGATTATTTTGCTTCTGTACCCTCTATTCTATTCAATCCCCATGGGGGTGACCTGTCTGTCCTGACTCTTGAGTCTTACGAGTCAGCAGTGCATGCCTGATCTGTCAGGCTGTCTCAACCAATCTCCCGGTTGTATGAGTTCTACACCGTTTTCCCAATTTCATTTCTGGTAGTAGAATCATATAGGACTTTATCATCAATAATTATATCCGAGGCTCTATATAATCACTGAATACTCGGCGTTTACTGTCCCATAATCAAACCGAGGCATACCCGATTATATATTTGTAGAGATACCCGGCCAATACCTATCTCGGAGGGCAATCACCAATCCCCGATCCTCGTGTATCTATCTATCTATCTATCTATTTATTTGGTTATTTATTTATTTGTTGACCTACCACCAATCTACTTATACATTCACAGCTTATAAAGATACCGTTCATAAGGATACTATTCATACCAATATTGAAAGATAGTTGGGTATTGTATTGTTCAAACGCCTCAGCTACCACAACAACATATTCCCCTACACATGGGAAATGATACAACCACTGAAAAAGAAAAGAAATAAAAAAGGCTGGGATACAGCTGGGACGTCGATAGGGTCCTGCACAACAACAAAGTGCAACAACCCCCGACATGGGGATATCAAATCGATGGCGCCACCGAAAAAAAAGAAGCAGACACAAAATCCTGAGCGAGCCAACTCCGCCTTGCCAGCCGAAACTGATGGTAGCAAAAGCAAAACAAAACCCGTGTGACGATCCGAGACCAGAGAGAGCAAAACCGCGAGGCAATACCTTATCAAACCGGAAGATGTCTAATGAAACCAGCCCAAACCGACACGCCCCCTGCCCGAAGAAATAACAGCTGGGATAGAGCGAGGTAGGCGTTGAGGAAACAAACAAGGTCTGGCCCAGATCGCGTGGATTACAAAAACGTGACAGGAGAAAGGAAAGGAATAGAGACGTAGAGAGAAAGGGGGATAGAGTATTGGCAAGTGAAATCATCAGTAGACTGGTACTGACACTTGCGGACGGGACATATACATCGTAAAGGCCAACATCCTCCGCATCGTCCCGGGCGGCACGTACGGGATATGGTGAAATTCAGAGGATGGAGGCGGGGAGAAGAAGAAGAAGGGGAAGGGAAGGAGAACCAGCGAGGACAACTTTAAAACGTCTCGCCCAGATCACTGGGGGTCGCTTTGTGATTGGAGGGTCCCATGTTTTCCCGACGATCGATTTCGCCACTCGTCCGGAGAGTACGAGGCGTGGGGATGGCCGACATGTTGCTGGGCGTCCGTTTCTTCACCCCGTTCGGGGTGGGGATGGATGGCAGACGGGTCTGGCGCGCCTCACTGATCTTCGCGCGCACGGACATGTGCATGGCGAGATCCTCATCCTCGTCGATGTGGGACATGCCGTTGACCGGGGCCCCCTGCGCGGAGGGGTTGCTGAGCGACGACCGCGGCCGCCGGCTTTCCGTGGTCGGGTTGGTCGAATAATGCCCGAGAGGCGTTTTGGTGCGACTCTGGCGACTTTCCGGCCGGGTCGACGAGGGGGCCACGCTCGGGTGGGTACTCTGGCTGAAGGAGCTGGAGAAACTCGTGCGGCTGCTCGGTCGGCTATCGCCCTGGGTCCGTTGGCTGAAGGAGGGACGGTGCGGGAGGTAGGACGGCACGCTGTCGCCATCCCGGAGCGACGAGCTGAAGCTGCTGCTACTCAGGCGTTGGCGGGCCTCGCCGCCGCGCGGGGTGATGGTCGACGCCATCGGGCTGCTGCCCAGGATCGATCCGGAACGCGACCCGGCGCGAGACGAGCCCCGGGACGGCGAGTCCGACGGGGGCGGCAGCTTCGACTTGGCGGACTGCACGCGTTCCTCGAGCTTCTGCATCTTGCCGATGAGGCCGCGGATCTGACAGAGGGAACCCGATTTGGGAAGCGCGGACGGTCGTTGGGCCGGGCCGTTGTTCGGCTTGGTCAAGCTGGGGCGGGAGGTCACCGACGGCGTGGACCAGCCATTGCTGTACGCCACGGATGTCGCACGGGAATGGGGTTGATACCGCTGGGTGCGGGGCCCGTGGAGGGAGCGGGTGCCGAACGATTCGGATCCTGAGGCCTTCTGGCGGGGGAACCCGGGGACGGCGTTGATGGACTTGCGCATGCTGCTCGTCTCCGACATGGGTGGGGAGGGGGGCGTCGCCGCGACCGAGGCCAGCGACGCTTTCATGGGGGGTGTATGGAACAAGGGCGAGGAGACGGTCGAGGTGGCCGGCGACCGATCGAAGATCTCCGGAGTCTGGGGGGTGGACGGCGTGCGGTGCAAGGGAGTCGGTTTCCTGCGTCGACCACCACCGTGCCATTCGGCATTCCGGAGCCTCTCCTGGACAATGTCGGTCTCGATCCTGACTTCGGAGAGTTCGTCGCGAAGACGTTGGTTTTCGATGCGCAGGGATTCGCGCTCTTTGTCGCCATTCTTGATCTCCTCCTCTAGCAGAACCCCCCTCTCGATAGCGATGTTGTACTTGGACTCCAGATCCTCCAGGGATGAAGTCGTATGGCGAGCCTGTCGTTCATAATCATCGTTGGTGACTTCAATATCGCGCAGCTTCAGCTGCAGAGAGCGGGTGGTGTCTCGTAGGGTAGTGATCTCTTTCTGTAGGGCATTCTGGGCGGCGCCGCCCTCGGACTTGGACTGCTTGTACTTGGTCTGCGGCGAGCGGGGGTGAGCTAAATTCCTCCAGCGGGGCCAGGGAGAGACCGATCGATATCACATACCTTCCACTCGTCGACCTCGTAAGTCAGCTTGTCCAGTCTCTCCTTCAACTTCCGCTCTCGCTTCTCCGAGGCCTCAATGTCCTTCTCCAGCTCCGTCTCCAGCTCGCGGCTGGAGGCCTGGAAATCGGCCAACTCGGACTCCAACTGCTCATACTGAGCTTTGTAGTGGGCGAGTTCATCCCGACCGGATCTGGATTCCTTGGGGTGCGAGGTGGAGGAAGAGACTTCCGCCGACGGCATGGTTCCTGGCCCAGCAGCCAACGCCAGGGGATAGGAGACTGCACGTTTTAGGGGAACCACGTGGGAGGGCAGAAGAGCGGAGGGGACGTCGATCCACGGAATCACAATCAACAGAATAGTCGAATGTTACCGACGGAAGGAACAGAAGGTGTCGAGATGGAGGTCATCCACGCCAGAGGGGGGTGGTTGGTGGTGACAACAACCGTGCGTGAACTGGTGGTGGTTGATGACGACGGGAAATGGGGGAGGGGCCGAGGCGGTGTCGCAGGGTCGGCGATTGCGACGGAACAAGGAAGGGAGAAAGGAAGAGAAAGAAAAGAAAGGGGAAAGAAATAAAGAAGAGGAAAAAGAGAAAAGAAGAGAAGAGAGTACACGGAGAGAGATACCCTCCGTGAGTGAGACTTACCGTTAAAACAAACCCTCACAGAGGGAAAAGGGAAGAGAAGAGGGAGAGAGAGAGAGAGAGAGAGAGAGAGGAGGAGTTGTTGTTGTTGATGTTGTTGCGTCTGGTTTGGTCCTCAGGCCCCGATCTGACTATTCCAGGGTGATTTCGTGCCAAGAGTTGCTATACTTAGTAGAGTTAGACGGTTTGAGGTATGAGATGTACTGTCAATACTCCTGTAATTTCATTCTCTCATCTTCAGGAGAAACTGATATTTATTCTATCATATATATTCCATAGTGTATTCAGACGAATATTCTAATATCTAATAATATCCCAAGCCAACAAGCAGTGTCCACGGGAGATGTGCAGGTGACAGTATACTTACCATACTATTCGTACTATACATACTCTATATTGCCACTACTCGGCTCTAAATCAAACTATTGACCGCCCTCGTACCCGTGCGTCTTCCCAGGCTCCAGTGTGAGTGACTCTTAGTTCTCTTGGTCCTTATCGGTCTCTCCCATAACTATCACCCTCTCACTCTCCTGTTGTTTGGTCTGGATCAGTTGATGATCCTGATTCACCCCTGGACACACCTTGGTTGGTTGTGTAAGTCTCCCTTTGAAACAAGCCTTGCGGTCTGGTGTCAGGCCTGCATGTTATTGTTTGTCTCCTCCACTTGCATTTCTTGGTTCCCTCTGGGCATCTACTCCGGTCTCCAAAGGGACCGCCTATGTCCACGCACACCCATCTCTGATCCAATCCCCTTTGCTTCCACGCACGATTTTATTTCACTTGTTTTAGATGTCCTTGATGTCCTTGATGCCCTTGATGCCCTTTCTCTGTTGATTCCTTTTTGACTCCCTCCTGTGGCTGTTCTCATGGATCTTTCACCCCTCCCATCATGCTGATGTCGCGCTCCAGCGTTCTACTGCTGATCCGCAGTCTAGATCGTCTGTTGCCATGACGGACCCCACCGATCTGAATCTCGACGCCCCGAGCGATCTCCAGGATATCCCGGAGATGTCCATGCAGTTGATTCCGCCTCCCGAAGGCACCTTTCCGGACAAGTGAGTCCACCGACGACCACCCCCGCCCCCCACCAAAACCCACTCCGCTCTCCGCCTCTGTCGCGACCACCAACTCACATGCGTATTTCGGTCGTAGGGCTTCCCTCCTCGCCGCCGTCCAGGCGCATGGCAAGGCGCATGGCTACAATGTCGTCGTCAAGTCGTCCAGTACCCCCACGGAAAAGAAACCGGGCCGCACGGCCAAGGTGTGGCTGCGGTGCGATCGCGGCGGCCACTATCGCCCGCGCAATGGCCTAACCGAGGAGACGAGAAAGCGCCGGCGGACGTCCCGGTTGATGGACTGCCCATTCATGCTTGTCGCCGCGGGCACCCCGGGTATCTGGACGCTGAGCGTGTTGAACCCGACGCACAATCATGGCCCGATGCTCGAGAAGCCTCGGCAAATGTCGCATCATAAGGTGCGCAAGGGCCAGATCGCGGCGCTCCCGTATGATTGGCCGCACGATGCGAGCCTAACGCCGTATACCACCGCGCTCGTCATCATTGACATGCAGAAAGACTGTGCGATCCCTGTACGGAGATTGGTGGGAGCCGTGACTGACAACTTCTGTAGTTTGCGTTCCTGGTGGATACATGGAGTTTCAGGGGTGTGACATTTCCCCCGCCCAAGCCCTGATCCCCAAGCTCCAACAAGTCTTAGATGTCTTTCGATCGTCGGGTTTCCCGGTGTATCACACTCGTGAAGGTGAGCGATCTAGCCGCGATTGGACCCACGCAGTCCACTAACATGCATCAGGTCATCGACCAGATCTCTCTACACTATCTAGTCGAGAGGCGTACCGATCCCAGAATAACTCCTCGAGACTCGGAATCGGCTCTCAGGGACCTCTCGGACGTCTACTGATCCGCGGGGAGATCGGCCACGACACGGTAGACGAGCTGTACCCGATCCCAGGAGAGCCTGTGATCGACAAACCCGGGCGGGGGGCCTTTGCGCACACGGATTTCGAACTACTCCTGCGAAACAAAGGAATCAAGAACCTAGTCCTGGCAGGCGTTACGACAGACGTCTGCGTGGCGACGACGATGCGGGAAGCCAACGACCGGGGATTCGACTGCGTCGTACTGGAGGATGGGACGGCAGCCAGCGAATCGTCTCTCCACGTCAGCACGCTGGAGGGGGTCAAGATGGAGGGAGGCATATTCGGGGCTGTGGCTAAGATCGAGGACCTGGTGGGCGCCGTCGAGAATTTCAAGGCGAATGCGGCGAAGAAGCTGACGCCGCAGATGACGGATGAATAGTAGGGTATGGATATGGGGTTGTGGATATGGAGCGAGGCGTTTGGCTTGATTATTACTATTATTATCTAGTTTTTTTTCTTGGTGATGGCTGTTTCTTTGTCTGGGACTGGAGACAAGTTGCTGTTTGCACGTTGAGCGTTGCGAGTTGGTTATATACAGGTAGTCAATATTGGACAATCTTTCTTATACTTACGTATCTAGTCATAAGATGAACGATATTATTCTGTACTAGACATGTCTAGTAATATAATCTAGCGACATAAATATGCTGATACCGATAGACAAAGAATAACCAAGCTATATATCTAACCGCCAGACCTGACAAGAACGCCGCGCTAGTCTCACATAGCAAGGAGAAAGAAGAACATCAACAAGATACACCACAAACCACAAACACAAACCACTCACAATCAGTACATCCCAAAAGAAAAAAAAGGGGGGAAAAAACGATTACAGCCATTTCTTCCCCGCAGCATTCACCCTCCCCCTAAAAACAGGACTCCGAATCTCCATCCCCTGCCTATAAAACGGGCTCATAACAGTCTTCACATAATTCTCATAAACCTCACTCATAAACTGGCGCACCGCCTCCTCCGTCTGCGGGGAGGTCGGGTTGGCCGCGATGGAGCTCGACGAGGTGCGCGAGGAGGACGCCGTCGCCGCGAAGGAGGAGCCCAGCAGCGACGACGCCCCGCTGCTGCTGCTGACGCTGCCGGTGCCAGGGGCGGCTGCTCCGGGTGCTCCTGTTGATGCTGCCGCGGCGGAGCCGGCTGTTGGGAGTTGCGGGGGTTGGTGGAGGAGGAGGAAGCGCGCGCCGGAGGGGGCCAGGAAGGCGGAGATGAATGCTGCTGCGGGTGGGTAGGTGTCGATGTGTTTGAGGTACCTTTTTTATCTGTCTTAGCTTTGTATCTTCTTATATATATATATATATATATGAGTATAAATAGGTAAAGAGAAAAGAGACGTACATATTCCCATTCATCCACTGCGCCTCCTCAACAATATCCAAACTAGAGTGGATAATAAACTGGTTCATGTACTGCGCGGTGTCAGGGAAGCGGAAGCGGGCAATGCCATCGCCGCCGCTTTTCGACGTGCCAAAGGCGATGTTGAACAGCGGAGCGTCGGTGGGAGAGAGGATAGTGAAGTAGTACGACATGGTTGTAGCCTGTCTGTCCTGTAGCGGAGCGTAGATAGATCGATATTGCGGCGTCAAGCGGAGGTCCAATGTTTAGCGGAGGAACAGCTGGGACGATGCGGAGATAGGAGTATACATCACGTGTGATAAGATAGAGCTTTACACGTGACACCGCCCCATCATCGGTCTCGATGAACGAACCCGTCCGCTTTCCATCACCCAAACTTGCATACTCGGTCCCGAAGCTATCCTTGGGCATTACTCCAGATTATAACGAAGATGCCCCCGAAATTATCCCTCGGACTGAACCTCCCCGGCAAAAAACCGCCCGGGGCGCGACCCCCGCCATCACTGGGCCAAAAGCGCAAGAAGACCATCTTCGACGACGACTCGGACGAAGACGCCGCAGCAGAGAGCAAAGGCAGCGGCGACAACGCAGTAGAGATCACCAGCATCGGGGGCCTAGAAGAGCCCATCCAACCCGCCCCATCAACCAAACCCTCATCCACAGCGCCTCCACCCGCAAAGCGCAAGATCCCATTCGGACAACAAGCAGCCGCCAAACCCAGCGCGAAGCCACTCACCAAGAGCTCCATCTTCGCCGACGATGACGAAGACGATAACAACAACAAAACCACAAGTGAACAACTCGACAAAGACAGCAACGTCCAATTCGGCCTAAACCCTAGCAAACCCAGCACAGCAGAATACACCAACCTCTCCGCCCTCCACAGCAGCCGCAAACACGCGCAACAAGCCGAAGACCTCGACCCCTCAATCTACTCCTACGACGCCGTCTACGACAGCCTCCAAGCCGCGAAGCCCCAAAAGAACAAGTCCAAGAAGAGCGGCGCCGAAGGCGAAGAAGAAGAAGTCCCACGCTACATGACCTCCCTCCTCCGCAGCGCCGAAGTGCGCAAGCGGGACCAGCTGCGCGCGCGGGACCGCATGTTAGCGAAGGAGCGCGAAGCCGAGGGCGACGAGTTCGCGGACAAGGAGAAGTTCGTGACGGCTGCTTACAAGGCGCAGCAGGAGGAGATGAGGCGGGTGGAGCAGGAGGAGGCGGAGAGGGAGCGGGCGGAGGCCGAGCGGCGGAAGAAGAACGGCGATGTGGGGATGTTGGGCTTTTATCGTGATGTGTTGTCGAGGGGTGAGGAGGAGCATGCTGCTGCGATGCGTGCGGCGGATGAGGCGGCTAAGAGGGTGAAGGAGGGGGTTGCTGGGACGGAGGAGGAGGAGAAGGAGAAAGAGGCAAGTAAGGAGAAGACGGAGGCGCAGGTCGCAGCTGAGTTGAACGCGCGTGGGGCTCGCGTCGCCGTCAACGATGAGGGTAGCGTGGTGGACAAGCGCCAGCTGCTCTCTGCGGGTCTCAACGTGGCGCCCAAGCCCAAGGCAGCGCCCTCGGCGGCACCGGGTGGTGGAGCTGCCCGCCCGGCAGCCAAGGTACGGGCTGACGGGGCGCCAACGTCTGGTCGTGCGGGCCAGCGCGCGCGCCAGACGGAGATGATCGCCGCGCAGCTGGAGAAGCAGGCGCAGGAGGAGGCGGCGGCCGAAGCGGCGAAGCAGAAGGAGCTGGAGGAGCGGAGTCGCAGTCGCAAGTCTGGTACCGATGTGTCGAGTGCGCGTGAGCGGTTCCTGGCGCGAAAGAAGGAGCGGGAGGCTGCTGCAAAGGGTAAATAAAGCTACAACTGTTGGTTTTTGTTCTGGATGTGGGTTAGGAGTTGCATTTATGGCGTTTGTACAGTATGGACTTGTATAGTTGTATCATATTATGAGATGCATGCCACTGAGTTAGGATTTTCAAGGACAGACGTCGGGTTGTACGATCGGTTACTTTCATGTATTCAACTGCTCACGAACTCAATGATCGTATTTACTATAGCTAGTGGTATAAAACCATATGCCCACCAGTAGGCAATAATTCCAAACCCAAACCCAGACTTGAAAAAAAGAAGAAAAGAAAGAAGAAGAACGTGTATGTCAGACCATTCATCACTCGTTACAAGATCAGACCGCAAACCAACTCCAAATGCAAGCCATTCCGGATGCCAGATCACGTTCACGGCGTACGATGCATGCTAAATATAGTCGTTCGGAGGAAGGCCTCGCAGGTGAATCAAATCGAACGCTAGGAAATAACAATCATTCATGCAGTCAAGGCGAAACTCAATCCCATCAGGCACATTCCACCGATCGCGAACCCGATGCACATTCCGCCGTGGTGGGTCAGTCCCAGCCCCTCGCTGAACAGCTGCAAGCCCACGGAGGTCATGACGCCGGCCGTGGCGGCGAACATGCCCCCGTACACGCCCCAGGAGGGGTCTGGTGCGGACTCCCCCGGCGCGGCTCGCTGGGTGGTCCAGATCCACAGGGCGGCCAAGCCGGCTCCGGCGGGCTGACTGATCCCGCCCAAAAGGCTGGACCAGAACATGGCCTTGCCGCGGGATTGGAGGGCCAGATAGAGGGGCAATGCCATGGCGAAGCCTTCGCTGATGTTGTGGATGAACAGGGCGAGGAAGACTGTAGCGCCGAGCTGCGGACTGGCGTGGTTAGTGGCGTAGGTGATGAAGCCTTCCGGCAGCTTGTGGAGCGCAATGGCTATTGAGGTCTGCAAGCCGATGGATAGGAAGGCGTTTTGCGGGACGTGGTGGTGGTGCTGAGCGGCCGCGGGGCCCGTCGACTTGGCGGCGAGGTCCGGGTCGGCTGTGCCGTCCAGCCCGATATGGGAGGAGGCCGACGAGCTGGGCTCCGGGGACACCCAGGTCAATGCGGGGATCTCGGCGTTGTGAGCGTCCAGTGGGGCGGCGACCGGTCGCGCCGGAAGACTGCGCGAGTGTATCACGGACGGACGGCCGTTCTCGACGTCCGCCGTATTATCCAGGAGCGTTTTGGCGCATTCATGGCCGCACGCCTGGGAGAAACCATAGCACGGGCCGTCCTCATCACAGTGGGCCTTGACCCCACCCACAAGGCCGCGGACTTGGCGCACAAGGCGCTTCCGCCAGGGTTCCTGACGGAAGGCTCCCGACGGCATCTCCTCGTGCGCGTGAGGCGGCGCGACGACCCCGGTGGTCGATTTCTGCGCGGGTGCGAGGAGGGGGGTGTGCTCGGAAGAGTGGGGTGTGTGGGGGTGGGGGTGGTGACCATGCCCGTGTGCGTGTCCGAGATCCTCGTTCGCGTGTGGCTCATGGGTATGGTCGCAATCGACGACGTGGGAGGGGATGTACCCATGAAGGAAGGCGGACAGGACGCGGATGATGACAACACCGGCGAGGAAGAGGCCGATCAGGAAGAAGGCGGCGGCGGAGGGGGAGAACCCCGCTCGAATCAGATATTTGTTGGAGGTGGGGAGCATGCTATAGAGCGAGGTAAAGAGCTGTCGACGGTCATTAGTTGAAATTCATGGCGATGCAGAGGACCATGCCTACCAGGACTCCGGCGCTCAGACAGAGAGAGGCCGATAGGAAGCCATTGTTGTTGACGATCTGAAAATTCTTCTGATGCGAAAAGTGGCGTAACAGCACATCGGCACAGACCAGAGAGGCACCCAAGACACAGGCTGTAGTTGGATGGTTTCGCATTAGTGACACATTCCTAGCACTGTTGGCTGATTGACCTCATTCTCGAGGCCCGAAGAGGCAAGTAAAGAGGATATCACTGACCGATGCCTGAGACGGCGCTCATGACCCAACCCCGAGTATCATTGCTGGGCGCCATGACGGGGTGGGTGGAACTACGCTGCGGAGACAGCTGGTGAGAGGATGGAGAAGGACAGAAAGAGGGGTGCAAGAGGAACGAGGGAGAAGTAAAAAGGAGGAGAAGAGAAGAGAAGTGGAAGTGAAGTCGAAGAAGAGCGAGCGTTGCCGCGTTGGGAGACGGAAGGACCTTGGGGATGATATCATGCGGGTCGGAGTCATCCAGCACACCGTTTACTACTATTTTAGAAATGATGTTTGTACAAAATGGATGTAAGGGATACTCGATATCTTAATAGCTGATAGTATCTACTATACCGTCAGTTATACTTGTCATTCTATATTATCGAGAATTGGAGAAATCGGTCTCGTGCATAACTGCCAACGGTGTGATTACATAATTATACATGTTATACTCCATTGTTCACTATTTGTTTACTCTAAACTTTGGAATTATAGATCTTGATATTTGATTCTACTGGAGGAATTTCTACCATATGATTGTGTAGTTCATAGCACACGAGGAGATCTTTAGATTCTTATCACTATCTACTTCTATCTACTCGTATGGTTGATAATGTAGAATCCTGTGTTCTCCGCCTCAGGCTTCACTGTCATCCGCATTTTCTTCCCCGAACTTTCTCCTCTTCACTCCGACTCTCCTCACTTCTTCTTCTTCTTCTTCCCCTCGTTCTCCTCCTCACCTTTCCCTTTCCTATTATCCTTCCTTTCTCTCTCTCCCCCTCTATTCTCTCTTCTTCTCCGGTTATACTCTATCTACCGACATCCTGTCCATGTCCAAAGCCACCGTCGCGGCTATCGCCGCCGCCAGTGCGGCTACGGGCGCCGGTCTGACTGCCCTACTCTACTCTCCCCGATCCCAGCAACAAGCTCAGAAACTGTCTCATCCTCCCCCTCCTCCACCTCCTTCGTCGGCGACAACCACGTCGAATGTGCCTGCGACCACACCGGCACCCCCCTCCCTTGCCTCCAAACCCCCCGGTGGCCCCGTCGACCCGCACGGCATTTACCAGTATGGCTTCCCGGGCCCCGTCGCCGACCTGCTGAGCTCGGCACCGCTCGCGGGCGCATATGACCGTCGCACGCGGAACCCCGCCTGGGTTGCAGAACACATCACGCCGGCCTCCCTGGCGCTCAAGAACGCGGATCGCAAGCATAGCACCTTCTTCGAGGACACGACCATCCCGCCGGCCTTCCGCGCCAAGCTGGCCGACTACTTCCGCTCGGGCTACGACCGGGGCCACCAGGTGCCCGCGGCGGACGCCAAGTGGTCGCAGCAGGCCATGGACGGCACCTTCGCGCTGTCCAACATGTGCCCGCAGGTGGGCGAGGGCTTCAACCGCGACTACTGGGCGCACTTCGAGGACTTCTGCCGCAACCTCGCCAAGCGCTACCCGTCGGTGCGCATCGTCACGGGCCCGCTGTACCTGCCGCACCGCGACCCCGACGGAAAGTGGCGCGTCTCCTACGAGATGATCGGGAACCCGCCCAACGTTGCCGTCCCCACCCACTTCTACAAGGTCATCTACGCCGAGGAGGGGCCCGCCGCCGCCGCCGGCAAGGTCGCCCTCGGCGCCTTTGTGCTCCCCAATGCCCGCATCTCCAACGACAGGCGTTTGTCCGAGTTCGAGGTCCCCGTCGAGGTCGTCGAGCGCGCTAGTGGCCTCGAGTTCGCCGCTCGCCTGGAACCCAGCCGGCGCAAGCGTCTGTGCCAGGAGATCAAGTGTGAGATTGTGGTGCGCGAATTCAACAACGCGGCTAAGCGGTCTTAAATGTGTTATATATGATGAGAGGACCTGGTTCTTGATGGGCGCCGATCGCCTGTGTATTTTTCTTTTTTCCTTCCTACTTCCCTTGGGTGTATCATGTTTATAGTCCAGGCGCTCTTCAGGCCGCACGTGCCGGTTTTTGTATTTACGAGCTTTGATCATAGACCGCCAGTGGCTGGAACGCCAGCGAGGGGCATACTAGCATTTTCAGCATTACAGACATAGATCTAAATAACCTCCAGCCTAAACTGTACACACGAAGTAAAAACATCCACAGACTCCGGACCCAACCAGCCAGATTTATAACACAGCCTAACTCCCAAGCAACCAATACATATATATCAACATTGAAACGCCACGCCCTTCTTGACCGCGACATTACCCCCACCACCTGCATAGCCCGTCCCCTCGCAGCTGATCTCCACCAGCCCAGGCTGGATCCCCTCCTTGTCCTTGCTCTTCTTCTTCTTCTTTTTGCTGCCGTCGGCCGCCTCTCCATTTGAGTCCCGCGGGGTGATATCCGTCTCGCAAACGTAGCAAAGAATCCGACCATGCAGCGCCGCCGTCTGCGCCTGCTCCTCCTTAGTCGCGTGGGGGTCGGGTGCGTCGTGTGGTGTCATGAATTTCGAGACGCAGGGCGAGCACATGACGTGGCCGCAGGGTTTGGTTACTGCAGACATAACGTTAGCACATCCTTCCACTACCAAGTCACAAGAATTGGGCGGATACATACAGAAAGCCTTGAGCCCGTTGGTCAGCGTCTTCTTACAGCTCGGACAGACCCGCGACGGGGACCCGTCCGAGGCCTTCTCCTCGGTGAAATGCACCTCGACGAGGGACTTGAGCGAGTAGCTGTGCTTGTTGTCGTCGGTCGACGCAGGACAGATAGGGTTCAGCTTGACGGCCTTGTTGGCTGCGATCTCGTTGGGGTCAGTGGAGGGCGTGAGCGAGGGAACCCAGAAGGAGGGCAGGGCCGATTTGCTCTCGTCCAGCTGTATGCATATTAGCCAACCTATCCATCCCTCATCGCATAAAACAACAGGAAGCAAAAGCTAAAGCTCACCTTCTCCTTCTTCAACTCCCTCGTCAACCGCTCCTGCTCCTCGCGCGCAACCCTTCTCATCTCCCCCTCATCCAATTCAAACACCTTCTTCCTCTTCCCCCCAACAACAACCTCCCTCTTCTTAAACGCCGCCAACGCCGCCTCCTCAGCCGCCCCATCATCCCCCGCCTTCCTCTTCTTATGATTCTCATTCTGCCGCGCCCCACCCAACCCCATACTTACGAGCTCAAACTCGCGCAACTCACGCTTCCTCGCCTCCTCCAGCGTATGCTCCTCATCCTCCGCAAGCCGCTGCTTCGCGTCCGCGCGCTCCTTCTCCAACCGCTTAATCTCCTGACGCTGAGCGAGAAGGTCACTGATGGCGCATTCGCGGCAGAAGAGGTCGCCGTTGGTGGCGCAGGCGACGACGGGGGCGCGCGCGGGGCGCAGGCAGAGGCGACACGAGCCGAAGGGGAGGAACGAGTCGCGGCCGATGACGCCGCGCTGGGTGCCCCATGTTGAGCGGAGGAGGCCTCGTTCGTAGGAGGTGAAGTGGGGGAGGGAGGTGTTGCGTTTGGAGTGGGCCATTTTGGTATGTTTTTATTCTTCCTGGCGGTTCTGGTGGGTTGCGATAGTGGGAGGAGGTGTTGGGTGAAGCTGAGGTGGGTTACGCTCGCATCGGGGCCGGAGGTGCTGCGGAGGTGCAGATTGGGGGGTAAACGTTATCAATGGACTGGATGGCGGGGTATTGGTAGTATGTTTGATTTTGGACAACTAGAAGTGAGCTATTGATCGACCTTATGAGAAGAAGGCAGGAATGTGAGGGAAGATGATGCTGGTGAGCTGCAAATTGTTTGATCTGAAGTTGAATTATGCAATGAAGCATCATTTGGTGAACCATATGACTAAGCATATATATACTCATAAATCATGTGATAGCCACGATGTATAAAATGTACTTCTTGGCTGATGGCAAAGCTGTAAGGTTTGAGCTAACATGAGGACCAATACTTGAAAAGGCAACTGCAAATTGCTAATTGCATGTTGATCATCTAGGCGCTGCTTGAATGAAGCGGTCCAAACTCGAACAAACCGCCAACATTGATGATATATGCGTTGCAAGAGTATTCACAGACCCTCGGACCCTCCACAAGTCGGAGATAGGGCTCGCGAAGCCCAATCATGCCCTAACAACTTTCGTGCCTGACCGGTAATGGCCACTCATAGATGATCGTCATTACCAGAACGGTAGGATGGCGACTAATTATACTTCAATTCTGAAAGTACCGATTATTCTTTCATTTGGCGCTTTGCTGTGCTCGAGACACCAAGACTTGAATCCTTCAGAAGAGGGGTAGAATGTATATATAAATATGTCCTTTACACCGGTCTCAAACAGCAAAGCAAAGCAGAGTCCGATTACTTTTCATTGCGCTTGTTGCCTGGTTGAGCCTTCTTTATACCTATCTTGCCCCCCTACGCTTACCACTACGCCGAAGCTTTTGAGTTCTATATACACCGTCAAAGTTTATACATTAAGTCACAAGATTGAAAATGGTTGTCGTTATTGCCGGGGACTCAGACCTCAATGGCGAGTACCACAAGGTGCCTAGAGGAAGTTTTGAGATGCAGGAGGACATGGCGATGACATTCCGTGGCTACCACTGCGATATCGTCGACAGCGACGGCAACGCTGTTCCAGGCGGACAGCTGACCCGGAAAGATGGATTGACGAGAAGGATTCTCAAGGCTGGCTACCGATGCCACATCCTGAGCGGAAGGGTGACGTTCAAGAGGGTGAGATAGGCGGGTCCGCATTCAGGTAAGAACCAGCCTTACAAGAAAGTTCTTTTATTAGCGAGCTCCAGATTATTGAGAGCGCTGTGCTGTTCAAAATGCCTCGTCTAATAACAGACTCTGGTAGATACGGGACCATATGGTATACAAAGGGCTCCTTGTTTCTCGTTGTCTTTCCACCGCTTGCTCGTCTCTATGCTAGACAGACGATCGTCGACTATATAACGCACTGTCGCTGATAAGGGTACATGGATATAGCGGGCCTGTCGTTTGATATACTTCTGAAACTTATGAGCCCAGACTCATGTGCTGCAGAAGAGTGGACTGGTGGTCAATTACAAGATAGCAGAAGCATTGAAATTGTATATATATATACTATATCTCAAGATCTAAACCATTCTTAACTGTTTTCCGCATCATCCCTAGGAGATCATATCCCATCGTAGGGGGATCCCAGAGTATTCCCTCTTATCTAAAACCAACCAACATCTCCAATACTTGGAATATTTGCCGCCAGCATCTGTGTCATGAAATACGTAGCATCTCAACCTAACGTCTAGAACAGCGCGTAGTCTGGCCAATGGTGAAGTGAATTCGTACGTGATTTTTGGTCCTTTCACAAGCGAACAAGTGGGACATTGCAAAGCGAACAGTGCAACTCGACTGTTGGGTACTGGCAAAGAGGATGAAGGCCTAGACCTCAGGTGAAATCAATCCAATGATTCTTCTAAGCCCAGCCCCAGTAAACGCAGTACGGGAGTCCACTTCAGCCATGCCAGCTTTTTAAACGCCCTCTTCTTTGAATAGAGGCTCTATATATTAGTGACAGAAGTCCAGCTCATGTCCAATTTGCAATGAGCTGTCTGACTGTGCGTGGAGGGGAACACATAAATACCAAAGACTTCAAGCGGTGTACACTCTGTCTCGCTTGGCGGATCAGTTTAGCTGGGTAAATTGATTCCTGGTTTCGAGACACAAGGGGCCACCATACGTATTCCTGCTCCTTTGTACACATCCCTTGATATGGACAAATAACATGTCTGGGGATAGTAATATTAGTAACTTAACCCACCATGGAACACTATGTGTATGAAAGCCACATGATTATAATAGGTCTAACATGTCATTATATCTGCACGGTACATCATTTTCATCAATGCAATCCCACCTCTCCATGCCATTCCATGCCATACTAAGACTGCAAAACAGTCCCACTCCTCGGCACCTTCAAACCAATCAAATAATCATCAATAGCATCCCTCGTATCCCCCTTATGGAAGTAACTCAAATGGCCACTCCCATTCCTCGCAACCAACACAGCATTACGATCCCCCAACTGTCGCTTCACAGAAAGAGCCCACTGGAACGGCGTCTCAGGATCATAAAGCGCATTCGTCAAGAGAACAGGCGTATCAAGCGTCCTACCCGCAAAAGTAGACGTCAAATCACGCGGAGGGTTCGTGACAGGCGCAGGCCAATGGAGACACTTCGCCTGGAGGTACCAGAATTCGCCCTGGCCGCGGGTGTGCGGAGTCATGACCTCGCCAGCGAGAACCTTGAAGAAGAAGTCGTCCGCGGACCAGTGCGCGCGCTGCCAGTCCTGGCAGATGATGGAGACGTAGCTGAAGTCAGAGTTGGATTGTTCGCTGTAGACGGGGTAGGAGAAGGAGCTTGAGTCGTTGTGGAACATGGCGTCGCGTAGGGCGGCCGACGCGGCCGCCCAGCCGGAGCCGTACTCTGGGGTGTCGTCGTATGGGAAGATGAGGGCTGCTTGGAGGGTGCGGAGGAGCTCGTGGCCGGTGACGTTGGAGCGGCAGGGGTAGTTGTCGAAGGAGACATCGGAGCAGTCGGGGGCGAAGATGGGGGTGCGGTTGGCGCGGTCGATGAAGGCGTCGAACTTGGTGGGGAGCTGGGTGGTGTTGTGCAGTGCGCAGGACCGGTCGGTGGCGCACCAGTGGAAGAACCGGCCCAGGGTCACTTCGTAGCCGAGGGCTTCTGACTCCCAGGCGAAGATCTCGGGCTGGGAGTGGTCGAGGACGCCGTCAAGGACGGCGGCGCGGACGTTGTCGGGGAAGAGTTCGAGGTACTGGGAGCCGAGCTGGGTGCCGTACGAGAAGCCGAGATAGGTAAGCTTTTCGTCTCCGAGGGCGACGCGGACGGCTTCGAAGTCTTTGGCTACGCTCGCTGTGTCGACGAAGTTGAGGAGTTCGCCGCTTTTTTCAGCGCAGCTCTGGCCCATGGCGCTGTACGCTTGGGTCATTTCGTGGTATTGGGCGGGCGTGCGCGGGAATTCGGGGACACGGACGTTCCAGGCATGGGGATCGCATTGGATGGGGGTGCTCTGGCCTGTGCCGCGCGGGTCCAGGGCGACGATGTCGAAATACTGGTGGAGTTTGCTGTCTTCCCAGATTTCCGAGCTTGTCATCAGGTCGGTGGTTGCTGCATTGCCGGGTCCGCCTGGGTTGAACAGGAGATAACCGATGCGCTGCGATTTGTTGGCCGCTGGCATCATTGCCATCCCTAGATTGATTTTCCGCCCATGGGGGTTGGCCCAGTCCAGTGGGACTGTGTGGTTGGCGCATTGAAATTGGTCTGAGGGGCTCTCAGGGCAGCTGGTCCATTGGATTGAGGGGGTGACTGAACCGACAGCCCCAACAGCCCCAACAGCGCTCGCCAGAGCGAGAAGTCTGAGGCTGACCATATCGCAAACAAGGGTTAGTATAGGATAGGGGGTGTTTGTGTTTCAAGAGCCGCGAGGCTCTCTTGACCGACAACTGCGTTGAGTGGGGTATTTAAGTATTACTTAGATTCGTAAGCTTGAGGAGCCTGTCCACTATCATGATGACATGATGAACAGGGGGAAGGGTGGAACCTACGGGGTACGGAGTAGGGAAGGCTTATAAGCAAGTCGCCGATCAATCGTCGTGGAAATTACTGAATAGGAAATCAATAGACGGACGCAAACACCTTACTTACGTTGCTAGGCCGACGTGGTCCTCTATGAGCCCTCGTAGGTAAAACCCCCAGGTAGAGCTCATAAAGCCAAACTCGGCTGCCCCCAAAAAAAATATAGTCAGGCTCTATGCCTATTGACTATGATGCATTAGTCTATATACATTCGACGGATCTATTTACAACAAGACCGGACCTAAGACGAGTTGGGATCGCGCTCGTTTATCCTCTTCCAAGGCGTTTCTCTATGATGCATGTACTCTTTACTTTGAATCGCCTTTCGGATCCCATACATGCCACCAAAAGGCCACTGGGACCGCATCCAGTTACCCCACGATGAGTTGCTCTCCTGACGGGTCCGCTGCGTATCGATCTTGACCTTATCATAGACACTGGGCAGGCTGGTGGCCGAGTATTTCTCCCGCAGCGCGTCGTACCACGGGCGATCGAACATGCTCCAAAACTCGTTCTCCGGGTAGTAGGTGTGAGCGTAGAGCCATTTCATGCCCCCGTGGCTCCGGATCTGATGCTCGAGCTCACGGTTGGCAGAGATGAAGGTGGCGGGATCCGTCGGACCCCAGCCCCAGAGCCCGACGTTGAGCATAGGCTTCGGGCTGCCGTCGGCCTCGACTTCGCCCGTGTGGGGGTGCATCGTGGGCGGGGGCGTCTGGCGCAGCGGGCACAGCCACAGAGGCCAGATGCCAAAGGAGTCGGTGGCCTTGTTGATAAACTGCTCGGCCGTCGAGTAGGGGAACGCCAGGTCCTGCACGATGTAGCGGCTGGATTCTCCGCTGGCGTGGAGCGCCTTGTACAGCATGCGCGTGTGCAAGAAGTCGTCGAGCCACCACCGGGTATACCGGTTAAACGGGAATTTGAAGTAGTCAAAGGCGGACGCGCCAACCCAGAAGCCGCCTCGGTCATAGCGGAAGAGGTACTCGGCCAGCGGGATGAATTCAGTGACGGGGGAAGGGCTGGCATTGGTTCTGTCCTTGACGTGGAGATAGAACCACGGATCCCAGGGATCGCTGAAGGTCTGCAGAGTGGTGTTGTCGGGCTTCTCGTTGGTCATCTCCCCCGTGACCACCACACCGTGCTCTTTTGAGAAAAGCATCCCGTCCACATAATCGTACGCATCATTGGTCGTCTCCGTCTGGATATCCTTGATCGCCTCAGCCACACTGCCCTTCCGATGGTAGGTCGCCTTGACGTATTTCTTGGCCTCGATCAACTGCAGCTCCACCATGGTAGTGATCCCCAAGCTGCCCACGGCACCGGCGGCGCCGTAGAAGAGATCGGAGTTCTCCGTCGGGGACGCCCGGGTGATTTCGCCATTCGCCAGAATCATCTCCACAGAGTTGATCGTATCATTGAAGAACCCGTGGCGGAACGAGCTGCTTTCCCCCGCCGTGCCAGCGTACCCGCCGCCGACAGTGATGCCGGGGAACTCCATGACCACAGGGGGCACCAGCCCGTACTTCAGCGTGGACGCGACTAGGCGGTCCATAGGGACATTAGGCTCGACCAGTGCGGTCCGCGCCTTTGCATTGACCTCTAGGACATTGGCCAGCTTGCTGATGTCGAGCGCGTGCCCCGGGCGACGCGGTCGAGTGCTGTTGGTGGAGCCATGAGAAATCCGAAAAGGCTCCTTGCGGTCATAGAATTGTCGGACTTTGGCAGCGATTTGGCCAACAGCCTGTCGGTGTTGGGCTAACATCCCGACCGTTCTCCAGGACAAAGTAAGAGAGTGATCTGGGGAAGAATAACCAGCATGGAGAGAACCTGTTAAGAAAATCCACCCCAGCCGACTGGAGAACTCGAGAGACTTTTTCTGATTGGTGGATTGGGAGAGATCGACACCAGCCTACTTAGGCAATCCACTGCAGCCACGTGACTAGTCCGATCCGGTTAGACCACGACAGACGCGCATTCCCGTGACTTTCCCAACATTGGTGGATTCCTCTGCAACGAATCAATAGTTCTGTGGACATGACACTTTTGATCGGACATGGCTCTTGGCAAGAATCTCACGCTGTCCCCACCTGTGTGATTCCTTTGCAGGCGAACTGTGATCGATCGGTTCGGTGGCGGTGGAGGAAACTCCCCTTTACGAGCCTCTTGGCTAGATGTGAGGCATATAGTCCGACCATTGGACTGATTGGTACAAATGTTTCGGGAAGGCCCGAAGGCTAACAAAGGATTCGACGAGGATATACCCTCGGGCGAGAACGTAGATGACGACGACAGGCGCGTGGATAGCGACCTGGGCCCACCGCGGAAACAGGGTCGCAATCTCAATGATTGTGGTCGCCTCTTTCTGGAAGAGGAACTGGGCTGCGGCGGGTGCCACTCGCTGGCCAATGGCCCATGCGAAGAGGTACAGAAGAAGCAATCCGAGAAGGGTGAGACTGGCAGTGGTCCACAGGACCCGCTCGACGGTGGTGGGAAAGACAAGGATCCATCCCACCAGGTGCATCCCGAAGTAAGCCAATTCGAACAAGATCCCGTACAGCATTTGGGGCGTGGTGATACCTTTGGGGGCGTTGTTTGGCTATTTTCGAAACGCCATGTGGAATCCGGGCTTGATCTGGTATTGGTGTTGAACACTGCGCCCACTCCAAACCAGAATGGCGTAGTCAGGCTCTTCGGATCTGGAGGGGGCTGTACCGCACCCAGCCAAGCTCTAGGGCTGGAGATCTGGGCATCTGACTGCTGTCTTGCGAGAATCTCAGATATGAGGCTCGTTGTTTGGATATCAATTGGTACCTCGAACGTCCTGCGGCTTGTCGAACCAAAAGAAAAACGTGTGGAGCGTGCACAAGATGAACGCCACGGTCGTCAGCTCGAAAGTCGTGAGCCCAATGCCTTGAATCCACCGGCCAACGCACTGCACCGAGAACCAGATTATTTGCACCAGGGTAGCTGCGCGAGCAAACCCATCGTTCCGGTCTTTATCATCGACCATGGCCAAGGTGATGTCCGGCATTGGGAAATGCTGACGCTCGACCAGCCAAGCTAGCTGATAACTGGTCACCGCGAGCGGCTCGTCGAGGTCCGGCGCCTTGATCCTGATTCCACCCATATCGGCGAGAAATGCGTGGCGCCTGGACCAACGAGCCCCGTGACCGAGCTGCGAAAATGTTTCCACTGACTGTTTTGCCGACTCCCACTGCTCCGCGGCGATGGCAACCATGACTTCGGGGAAGAGGATGGTGAACAGTTGCCAGTGTAGTTTGTATTTGAGGTATCCAAAGCGCCCGGTGATGGAGGTGGGGATGTTGAGACAGAGACATGACCAACTGCACAGAAAGATGGTACAGACGCAGCTCCAGACGATGTCAAGAGTGCCTCTGGTGTCGGATCCGGAGACCCATCCCCAGATGAAGTTTTGATCCGCACTGGCGTTTCCTGATGCCATTGCTCTGATCTATTGCTGCTATGGAGCTCACGCATGCTACTTGAACCTGTCTTATACCTACCTAGATACGAAACCTACCTATATACGAAAGACCGTGTTAGGCGGCATCATTATAATTGAAGTCAACAACCTCGTTGGACAAGATGCTGTTCCTCTTAAGCCTCACTTATGAGAAGTAACAGTTCGGAGAGGTCACTGGATCCACCCATCGTAATGAGGTTACACAGAAGAAAAAGAAAGGAGAGAGTTCAGCGATAATCAGGCAAAGGGAAACGAGGTGGCGTTGATAGCTAGGTTGGGCTTGGTGAGATCAATCGGGGAGGCGACGACCTCGACGAGCATCCTCCTCCGAAGCATTGCGCGGCGTTGTTAGATAATAAGGCCATTATATAAAAAGAGCTGTTAGTTGGATGGGAGAGTCTATGGAGGATATGAGGCCGAATTTCCATATCAGATACCCAAGATGGCATGCGCTGTGTTTGCTTCAAGTCGTAGATAATGGAGCATTTATTATCACGCTACAGGTGAATGTTTTGAGGGAAAATGCCTTGCAACAATTATCATCCTGTGATAAACTTCACCGTGAAATGTATAGCATGAATGGATAGACGATCCACCATGGGGGGTGTTTATGTGTACTACAAAAAGATCAAATAATTTTCTATCTATGCGTGGAAGATGTTCGATAATTTACTCGTTGTCAATCGATTCCTTCTATGTCTGATCATGGCAAGGAATAGGGCTCGAGATATAGAGCCGTGCTAATATGTGTAGTCACAGGCTCAATATACTAATTGTTATCATGCTGGAGCCCTTTGTTCCTTACATGTTAACTTGCCGGTTTGCTGACGAATGGCCCTCTATTGTACTCCTTCCTGGTAGGGGATATCTCATAGAGCCCCCCCTAAGCTAGAGTATGATCTAGAGTATGATTCACTAAGTGAAAAAATATATATAATAGAATAAAACAAAAGATAAGCCAACAAACAAACAATAGACCTACTTACCATAGGGGTAACATATATCACAGCCAATGGCCTAAAGGTAATCGAAAAATACCTTTTTTCGTCTGCTATATATTCCAAAGATTGGTCCAAGTCATAAGAAACAACACAGTCAGACGAGCGTAGAATATAATGATCAGTCTGTTTGGTCTGTATTCACTCGTCAAGCTGTTGACAGACTTCAGACAATAGAAGGGTGTACCAACCCTATGTTCGAAAGTCAAGAATCTTGAAAATGCTTCTCCGAAGCCAAATCAGGCAAATACACGCTCATCTCAAAACCATTGGAAAAAGGGAGGGTCATATTGCGGAAGCCATTATCCGGATCTCTCATATACGCCAACAGGTCAGCGTATCCCGCCGCCGCGGAGACGGTATTATCAGTAAGAACGACGGCGCCGGGTCGAAAATGGGGGAGAACCGTCTTGAGGGTAGGGAGGGAAATAGCAGCCCAGACTGATTCAATCCAAGTTAGTCCTACACAAACCAATTATATCTACGGACAGAAGCCCGGAAGACAAGACTGGAATCATCACTCACTATCCAAAAGAAGCAGATCCACCTGCGGCATATTCACCTTCAGCGTCTCGAGAATATTCCCCTCTCGCAGATCAATCTGTCCCTCCACGTCCTCTCCACACTGCGCCCAATACCCCCTAGCAACCTTCGCTTTCTCGCTCTCATTCTCCGTCGCAATGACCACCCCAGTCTTGCGCGTGCGCGCCTTATTCTGGGCAACCGCAAGCGCCAGGTAGATAGTGGAGACGCCGAAACTGGTCCCAGCCTCGACGATATTTGTTGCCCCCATAGCGGTAATCAACTGATAGACGAATTGGCACTTGTCTTCGTCGAGGGCGATGAACTTGTCGCGCATCATGTTGTCGAATTCTGCTTTCGCATTACCGCTGGGTGACTTGTCCTCGAGGTCGCCGATGACTGTTGACGAGATGACCTTCTTGGTTTGGGAAATTGCAAACTCTTGGTCCGCGGACTGCTTGTGCAGCTGGGTGAGGAGATCCTGGACATGCTGCGGGGCTTGGATGGGCGATGGGGATACTGGAGGCGACATAGTGGCGAGTTGAACGCGGAGGTGCGAAATTGCTGGGTTTGGAGAGTGCTGTAATGAGAGTTGGGTGCGGTGGGCTATGCGAACTCGATTTGTTTTGAGCGCGTCAATGTTTATATAGAAGTAGTGGCATGTTTGTATACGATGCATGACTCACTGGTGGGTTGATTGTTCCGGGGTGTTGGGACGGCCTAGTCCGGGGTAGAACCCCGCAGCCCTTCCTAATTGGGTGTGCAGAAATGACCTCGTATATCATTGGAAAGGGCTGTACCAGGCATTTTGGCGGAACTATAAATTAACATGTTGTCATGACAATAAGTATATAATGAGATCACTCTTCATTTCCTTGAACAAGCAGAAAATCCATGGTGAAGCATCACATCAGTACGGCGACATAGGTCTGGAGCAACAGGTCGCCAGCCCTGACGGGCATGCAATTGAGCATCCATAAGTTACTACTGCTATGGCCCTTTAGGTACTGCAGGAGCCCCTCAGCATGCTAGGCACCAATTCTTCAAAGATGACGCAGAGTCATCATTGGCCATATCTCATATGCTAAAATGCATGTTACCAATCAGCGCGGCATAACCCCAGCCAACGGATATCCGGATACGAGGACGTAGTGCGCAGCAAGGAAAAAGAATAAAGGAAAGGGCAAAGAAGGCAGAAGGAGCAGAAAGAATAGAAGAGGTGTCGTCAGCCGGAATGGCCAAAAACAAAAAAATAAGTGACCAGTGCCAGGTTCGAACTGGCGACCTTTTCGGTGTTAACGAAACGATATGACCAACTAATCCAACCGGCCAACTCTTGAATATGAAGTTATTGTGTCTCGTAGTAAACTTATATTTCCCCCTGCTACATGCGAGTCTAGTGACGCCGCGGGGTAGGGAATGGTTGCACAGCACACCCCAGGGCTTATTGTTCTGCTCTGCGTATTAACTTTCACTGAATAGATTTATTCATTGCTTACATTGTAACCCCACTTGCTAGCGTCCATTGGCATCATTGTCGATGCGAACATTATGAGAACCGCCCATAGAAGTCTCCTGCAATTTATAGGATAGTAACTGAAGAAGTGAGGTTGCCAGTCACTACCCCTTCAAAAGATCAATAACCTCCTTTGCACCCCTAATCCCCGAACGCACCGCCCCCTCCATATACCCCCTCCACACAAACGCGGTCTCCGTTCCCACGAAATGGACATCCTTGAACGGACACTGAGCAGCCGAGGCATCCACCGAGGAGAGCAAGCCCGGCGGCGAAACAGGACAGGGAGCGCCGCCAAAGAACTCCTGCTTGGTCCACTCGATCTCCAGAACGTTAATAGGTTCAGGAACATCGAGTTTTCCTGACAGCCCTGAAGCACTCTCAAAAGTAGTGCGAAACTGATCCCACGCCGTTCTGCGTCGCTCGGATGAGGACAGCAGCGACCATTCGCGGCCACGCTTGCCGACGATAAAACAGGTGATGGACCATTGGTCGTCGTCGGGGATGCTAGTGTCGCGTGAGAAGAGAATTGGTCCTAGATCGGTCTCCATGACGCCGGAAAGGCCGGCTGTGCGCCACCAGGGCTGGTCGAATACGTATATCATTTTACTGTAGTACCCGAGTATGTTGTCGCTTGCGAGGCGCGTCTTGTCTTCTGGCAGGGGAGGATCGAAGGAGATCTTGTGGTACAGTGGAGTTGGTATCGAGAGGATGACCTTCTTGGCGTGGAAGGTACTGTTCGTGGGAGACGATGTGCGGACCGTGCAGATACACGTCTGTGAGGATTGCTCGATAGATGTCACTGGCGTTGAGAGGAACAGAGTACCTGGTTCAAGTGCCTCCGCCATCTTTCGCGAGAAACTCTGCGTTCCTTAATTTGTTAGCCCAATCAGCAGGACAAAGACGAAGTTCAAAAAGTTGAGTTACCCTCTCGAACCCGGAGATACTGCCCTCCATCCTTGCCGTCAGACAAGGCCGCATCGACCCCGGTGGCTGCCTTGATGTAGTGCACAAGGCTCAGCATGCTGATCGAAGCCGCTTCAACTCCGAGCAAAGATTGAGTGACCGTGTCCACGATGCCAACCACTAGATCAGACTGGAACGTTTTGCTGCAGTATTCGCTTGCGGTCATACTGTCCAGCTCTTTCCCGATCGAACCAGCAGCCGGATTTTTCAAGTCAATCTGGTCTACCAGGCCTTGGATAGTTTGGAGGACTGACGCCACCAGCACTTGATCGTGTTCGTCTAACTGTAATCAACCCAAATTTGTCAGCGCGCCAACAAGCAATTAACTGTCCGTGGCATCCCTACTGGCAAGGTACCATAGGGGTGCGTAATGACCCCCTCCGCAGTCAGCGACAGACTCATTCCCTCAGCCCTCTGGATCTCACCATGGAGACCGTACTTCCGAAGCAAGCCGTACATCTCACTTTGCGACGTATCATTGATCCACGCTGCACCAATATCGTTGACACCGGGACCGCTGAGCTTCGAGGGTACGGATAGCGTCTTTCCACCAACGCGATCAACGGCTTCAACGACAATACAGGACAGCCCAGCTGCTTGAACATCCAAGGCTGCGCGCAGCCCGCTGAGCCCCGCTCCCACCACAATGACGTCGACTTCCTTGGGAGCAGCCGGGGTAGGAAAGCTGTTTGTGATGGACATCATGGAGCGGAAAACAGATTGAACAAGCTTAACACGCGCAGTAATTTGACAATCTCTACCGGACGCCAGAAAGGAATCACCATTGCAAATCCATTAGCGCCATCATAACAACATCCCGATAATCCCAGCTAGTATGGAGGGGAAAAAGGCGGGGGTTCCGATAACGAACGATAAGCGCAGCAATCAATCAATCCTCAGGCATCAAACCATCGATGCCTCAGGCCGTCAGCCACGCCTCTCGGCCGGTCCCGATCGTCGCAGATAAACCCCACCCGCTCAATCAATGCAATACTGGACATTCAAGTCCAAAGCCCGCGCTGTCGAGCAAACGGCTTCTGCTCCACAACAGATGGCTGACGTGTTATTGGCGTAAGAGGGGTTTGCAAACAAGCGGGAATTAGTTCATGTAGTGCATCTGGCTAGCCAGCCAGCGGATGTTGCGCGCGGCAGGGGTTGGTTCAGATCCCGGGATCCCGAGATCGTGCCATTGAGTTTGGCTAGCTTGGATCGGCATGTCTATCACATTGATCATGCACTGTGTTGTTTTGGTTTGCTTGAGGTTGTCGCTGTTTCCTGCACGTGGCTTAAGTGGGGATTGTGGGTGTGTGAGCTATAGATGGCTAGTAGTTATTGTGATAGACTGACTATCAAATGGCTGCCAATGGTGCCTGTAACTTCTGTAGAGGATGGGAGCAAACATAAAATTACCGTACATGACTCGTAAATATGCCCACAGCAAATCATCCCTTCTTGATGTTCCTGCAATTATGTAACTTCGAGTGCGTGGTAAAATTGGCCGTGTCTCATAATATTCATTCATCTTTTCCCAGACATCACAGAAACAGACCCGAAACAGATCGCTAAACACACAATGATAATACTATACAAGAATGCCAAATAGATCCCGCGCAAATAGCGCGACCAATCCATAACAGGGGCATCATCAACCGTCCAGAAACACCCAATGCGATACCTCATCTAGAATTCCCATCAGCAACTAATCCCCAGACTGCAAAAGACAAGAATCAGAAAAGGGAGATGGGGGCTCATACCTTTCATCCCGCGGAGCGCCTCCGACGCAATAGCATAATTAGCCAAAGTCTTCGAAACGACGCGCAGATTCTGCTGCAGCTCATTCACAAGCCCAATCCAAGCACGGCCCTTGGATGAGTCAAGCGCGTCTGCTCCGTTCGAGTGCATGGGCCGAGCCTTCATATACACCATCAGCATAGCGTAGCTAGCCTGCATGATGCAGCACGCGAAGGTCGGCATCGTGCGGGGGATCTCAACACGGGAGCTAGCAGACATGTAAGGCGGGGAGGTGAGCGGGACGGTGCTATCTGGGTTCGGGTAGGGGAGGTTGTCGAGGAGGCGGACGATGTTGAGGGCGGCTTGGAGGCACATTTTGGAGGACTCGTGAGAGGAGAAGGGGAATCCGAGGGGTGGTGGTGGCGGTGTTGCTGCTGCTGCTGTGGAGGAGGAGGCTAGGGATGCGCTGCCTGGGGAGGAAGCGGATGCGTGCTCTGTGGAGGTGGTTGGTGTTGCGAGACCGCAACATTGTGGGCTAGGACTGGCTGTTGAGTCGAGGTCACAGTGGCGTCTGCGGAAGATGGGGATGTCGCTGAAGGCGCAGAAGCGGTGGATTTTGATTCTCGAGCTATTTTCTGTGCGTTAGTGTCGTGTGCGCAGGATAGTTTCAACTCGGGGATGGAGGAGAGACGGACCTGTGGAGTTTGATTTCGGCAATGTGACGTATTGATTGTAGTGCGAGCTGATCGGGGGAGTCGGTGATCGGAACGAGTGTGTTGGGTGTTAATGAGGTGCATTCTCTGCACATGAGCAGGAGCTGGGTGATTTGGGCATCGAGTTGCGTCATGCGACTGGGGATCCACGAGGCTTGAAATCGCGATTTGGCCGTTTCGTTAAGATCGTGGACGAAGGTTGTTGCTTCTAAGATTGTTTGTTGCGCCTCGATAAGTAGTTTCCATCCCTTTTCCCGGTTAACACAATCTAGTTTGATGGAGAACCTTACTAACCTTGGGATATGGCGTCACGAATCGAGGATCGTACACATTGATCGCAGCAGGCTATACACTGTGAGCATCATGAAGTGATGAGGGGTTGGTTGATGTGCATACCACTCCACTGACTATGGATCCTTGGCAAACTGTAATATACTAAAACCCGTTAGTACTACTGTGGAAAATACCCGCGGCATATGGCAAAAGCAAGAAAAGGAACAAAGAGAAAGAAAGAAGATACCGTCATCCACCAAGCCCTCTTCCTCGCCTCGGAAAACTCATCTTCCTCGACCATCTCATGCAATGACACGCTCATGGCAGCCGTAAGAGCCTGACCAGCGCGATTACACAACTTCCGAATATTCCCGCGTTGCGCATACTCATACGTGCTGAGGAGCACCAGTGCCAGCACGGCTTCTAGCGAGACAGGCAGTTTCGAATGTAGAGGCGGTCGAGTCAACTGCGGCGCTCCTTCAGAGAGAGCCTTGGACGGATCAGACGACGAGTCGAGGAGTTCCAAATCCTGCTCAACGGCGTCCAAAGCGGACTGCGCAAAGCTCTGCGCGAGATCTCTACGGAGCTTGGTGTATTCCGCTTCTGAGGCCTGCTTTACGTCGGGACGGGGAATGAGCACCAGGAGAGCTGCCATGGCGAGACTCAACGGGCTGGTGGGTTGGAATGGAGACTTGACGTTAAGGGGGCGGTTGGTGACGGGGAGGCGTTCTGGAGGCGGCAGGATCGGGTAGTAGATGTGGATGAAGACGTAGTAGGCGTCAATTCTGGGAAGCATTAATGGAGGGAAATGAAGGTGGTTTCGTTGGTTGCTCATGATATGGCACTTACATGTCCTCGTTGCTCCCGTATACTTGTACCATGTCCGAGACCGATTGTTCTGGCTCGGCAGGGGCATGCGTCTCATCTGCAGAAAATATACAGTCGAAGATCTGTCCCACTTCCTCTATAGAGCTGTCCACACTCCGGAGTCCAGCTCCGGGCTCGCTCATACTCACTAACTGGCTATACAAATCTACGCATCCCTGGTCAGTTCATACGAAGTATAGGGCATGCGGGGGAATAATACCATCTTCGTCGGATCCCCATCCGGTCAACGCAGCGTCCAACCCAGACAACTGCTGGATACCGTCGTCCTCACTGGATACTACGATATCCGACAGCGACATCGGAGAAGGAGGCGTGTCCCCGGTCTTCCTCCGTTTGCGATTCTGGCAATTGCGCGGCCCGCCCCGGTTACTAGGGACGTAGAGACACGGCCTGTCTTTGGCAACGCAGTTGGAACATTTTTCTTGCCCATCGCAGCGAATGCGCCGTGATCGACTGACAGCCCAAGTTAGTCTCTGTCAACTCATGACTGTAAACTGGCAAAAAGTAATTATTTGGGTGGTTATATTACCAAGACAGACACGCCACTTTAACCGGCGGCATAGCAAATTTGCGGCCTGCGGAAGCTGCACTACTGTTCTCCTTTTCTTCGAAGGAACTCATTTTGGGCGTCGGGAAAACATTTGCTAGATATACCTGGTATAAAAGATGACCGAACATAAATAACATAAAACAAAAATCTATAAAAACGACCAGACACCGGCGCCGGAAAAAAAGGGTCGCACGCCATTCACGAACCGGGTCCAAAGCCCGATGGAACCCTGGTTCAGCAGATCCCGGCGGGAGCAAACCCCGCCAGAACGTTGTATCTGCAAGGCGGGTTTTGTGTCAGATCCCGACTTTAAAGACCCTATAGTTCTGATTCGCATGTTGCCTAGACCCACCGAGGGAATTGCTCCATTGAAGTGGCACGATCCTTGCCAGATCTCCGAAGGGATATGGAATTTCTAATGGACATGGGTGGGTTGGTAGAAAGCATGGCGAGTCATGCAGGCTGCCCCACTGTGTTTGTGATTCTGGCTTAACATTTGATTATGGGTCAGGACGTGGTTAGTGTCGGCACGACTTGCAGATAAATGACAGAGAAGAAAAATAAAACAAAGATAAATGTAGAAATAAAAGTAAGTGGTAGGAGAAGTAAGCAAGGAGAGACAACACAAGAATAAAAATAAATTTTTAAATAGCCGAGAATTGTATCAAATTATGCACCGAAGTATATATTCAAGTTGAGAACCACGCAGCCGCTCGTCTCTACACCTCTCCTCCTTTGAATCAGTTGAAACGAGCGTGACTGGCACCCCTGGAGAAGCCATTTATACCTATACTACCAGGGGGGGGGGGGGGGGGGGGGGACTTGCAATATTCCCAGGGGACTGGGAATACCCCTGAAAATCCCTAGCTATCCCTAGCTATCCCTAGCTATCCCTAGCTATCCCTAGCTATCCCTAGCTATCCCTAGCTATCCCTAGCTATCCCTAGCTACCTCTCGCTATCTAGCTACCTAGCCACCTACCTAGGGGTCCTATAAAGGATCACCCCTTGCCAAATAGGCTTAGAACTCCAAAGGAATCTCTTATCCCGTGTACTTAACTTAGTATATATATAAGCTATAGACTTGCTTAAAGTGGCTAAGAATACTAAGTAATTATAGATATTATATATCTAGAGTCAGACTTAATAGATATTCTTAAAGATCTAAGTTATAGACACTCTAGTTATTATATCCTGATATATATTTATTAAGAGATCTTAAAACTATAATTATATTATATTATATTATCTTAATTATGTCAAACTAATAATACTCTTTATATTTATATATAAAATACTAAAACTATAGTCATGTCCAGCAGGCTGCATCTCTCTCTTTATAATTAATTCTAGACTTATAAAGCTAAAATAGACTAAGAATCACTGTTTTAGTGCCTGTGTGGGGAGGCTTAGGTAGCCTGCTAGTATTACTACTCTCTCACTCCTATATCAAGGACTCAAGATAATTATGAACTCATGACTATAATACTGATGCGAGCTGACAGGCCTTACTTCGGCCCCTTAGCTGTTAGTGTCTTGGAAGGATCCCAGGAACGGTGATATATTCAAGGATAATGCAAATCTCTCTCTCTCTCTCTCTCTCTCTCTCTCTCTATATATACAAGTTGAAGTTATATTTGCAATACTGTCAGATGTATTCCAACAAGTGTAGGGAGAAGATATTAACAATTTAAAGAACAGCGACTGACTCGGTCTTAATTCTGTGCAGCCGAGGGAGTAACAGGCTCCAAAGGCGTCGAGAGACCAACTCGGTCTACAGTCCGAGTATACTCGACACCCCCGTTCACACGATCCTCCTGAACCACCAGGTCCTTCCGGTTGGTATCCACTAGCAGTCGGATCAAATCCGGGCGCATATAGTGACCGCCCTTTTCCTGCATTAGTTCCACTCTGACCAGCGGAAAAGGGACCGTTGAAGGGACTTACAAAGTCAGCGAGAGACTTGGTGAGATGGCACTCGTTCAAGTCAATCTAAACAGGTAATGTCAGTGAACAGCCGTTGTGGCATAAAAATTGAAGAAGAAAACCTACGTCCACGTAGAGCAGACCCTGGAAGTCCTTGTCTGGGTGAGGGACAAGGTTCTGGCCATCAGGGCCGAAAATGCGACCATTTCCGTTATAGATGTGCGGGTCCTCGAGTTCCTTTCCAGGGGGTGTGTTCAACTTGATGCCCTCGGCCGTGATGGTCTGCCACGGCGCCAGGGTGAACGTGCCAGTCTCAATGGCATACGCAGGCGTCACGAGCTATACATCCACTTATCAGCGTCGGAAAAAAACAAACATATTGACAGTCGATCAGCAAGCATAAGGTTTATTACATCAGCATTCGCTTCTGCGACATTGGTGTACGGGTCCGGGTACCGAAGGGTCTCCTTTCCAGGGTACAGCGGCCAGGCGGCAACGTGGACCTGTTCGCCACGCGAGGCACCGAATGCCTTCATGAACGGGTTCATGTTCTCCCAGCAGTTGAGGTGGCCGACGCGGCCGATATCAGTCTGGGTGACCGCCTCGGTCGTGTCGCCAGTGCCGTCGCCGAAGATCAGTCTCTCGACGTGGGTGGCGCGGATCTTGCGGCGGTGGTTGATGACATCACCCGTCGGGGAGATGAGTACCTGAGTAGTATAGAGGCTCGCGAGGTCAAGCTCGGAGTAGCCCAGCGAGACGTAGATCTTGTTGGCGCGGGCTGCCTCGCGGATGCGACGCATCTCATCAGAGTCGGAGGGGAGACTGTTCTCCCGGTACTTCTTGAGAAGAGGTAGGCTTTCCTGGTAGTTGGTCTTCCAGGCCCAGTAAGGGTAGCCAGGGATCCCTAGTTTTTCCAAATTCATTAGAACATGTTCTACGGTTGAGAATTGCTTCTCCCTCAACGGTTGTCGAAACTTACATAGTTCGGGAAAAGCAATCAGCTTGCAGCCTGCTTCGCCGGCTTCGTTAATCCAGTGGATAGTTCTCTTGACGGACTCCTCGAGGTCGAACCAGCCGGGCTCAGCGTTGACGGCTGCGGCCTTGTACTTGGTCAAGGAAGGCATAGTTGTGGTGATAATGAAGGCTGAGATGGTCTCAAGTGTAGATGAGGTAGAATTGCTTGTTTGCGATGTTTTGGTATGATGGACACAGCAATGAATCTCCTTCTTTATATGTCTGACCACTGGATATCAACGCCATATCATTTTTCATCATCGAGACTGTCATATGTCACGCCATTCAGACTGGTGGGGGTCGGTTTCTGCTCGCTGTCCGTTAAACCGGTAGGATCTACGAGTATCACTGGAGTGGTGAATGTATCACGTTGATGAAATCTAGATGTGGAGGAACCCGAAGCATGAAACCGGGCTTTGCATGCTAATTGATAGTTGACTGATAGACAGATAAGCAAACATGTTGAACATCCCAGCCATGGCAAGTTCCCGGTGTTCGGACGCTCGACGTGCAAATCCCGGGAGTATAGGGCTATTTCACCAAAACCCGAAGGTTGCGTATTTGCTTACACATGCATCATGCCATTTGTTCTAGACTTCACTCGCTGCAAGGAGATTGGAATTGGATCCAATGTAGCAATATTTCCGAATTCTGACCGAGTCATTTGTTCTTGTTCATTTGCTCGCACCACTTCGGAGAAATGGCAGATTTTCACGAATATCTCAAATCACGGGCTCTTACTGTCTGAGGTCCGCCCTGTTCCGAGACATTGATATAGCCGGAAATCATATAGTATAGAATTGGCTGCGTCTATCTGCAAGGCTGACATTGCCTTAAGCCGTCACCGACTGTCTCAACTAGAGTCAGCTGTAGTCTAGTCTAGTAAACCTGCACCACAGAGATCTGTACGCCACAATCCAAATAATACCAGTGAATAACTAGAAGTATTACCTATGCAACAGTCTGAGAGTCTCCTCATAACCCACTCACCCATGGAGGCATGAATGAAATACCCATTGATCAGCAAGCACACATGATCCATAAAGGAAAAGAAAGGAAACAAAGATAAATGTGTATTTTGATTCTAACACTGCGATACACACCAGTGACAAGCTAAAACCTCTTCGAAACATCCTCATAATACCCCTCGTACCTCCTCAACGCCACAAACCTCGACAGATCAAGCACGCCCCCAAGAACAATCTCATCAACAGTATGCAGACCCTCATTCAACTCAAGTACTCTCAACGAAACGCTCTGTCGCTCCGCTGCCCGCTGAAATTTCCTCACCGCATCGATGTCTTCGTCACCATCAGGTAAAACAATTGTCTGGCCCCGCAAGGACAACTCTTCTAAAGCCGCAGGCAGCATAAGCAAACTTTCCAGAAACGGCATCTCAATCCTCGCATTGGCAAGCTTCAGCTCGCGCAGCCCCGACACCCCGATGTGCTCCATCGGTAGCGGCGGCCCGTCGCTGGAGATAGAGAGGCCCTGGCCTCTGGCGATCAAAACCCTGAGAGATGGGATAAGAAAGACGGCTGCAAATGTAGCTAGGTGCCAGTCTTCGTATTTCCGCATTATGTCAAGGTCAAGATATACTATTACCCGGTGCCGTTAGCGCGTCAGTGGATATTGCCGCACGGGAGACTCACAGAACTGCAAGTTCGTCTTGACTCTCTGTCGCGTCGGCGTCAAAAAACTCATCTGCTTAAACAAGTCCGCCATCTCAAGCGCCTTCTGCTCCTGGTTGAAGTCCTCGTCATCAGAGACACCGATGTCATCCCCGCTGCAGTTGTAGGTTCCTCTGAGCAACAGTCGTTCCAGCCGAGGCATCTGGGTTAGCAAGTCCAGAAACCGGAAGGGGCAGTTTGGACGTGTTAAAGGGCGCCCCATGATTACGCTCAGGTTCCAGGTCCAGCGATCCACGAGTAGCCACCTGACGTGGTGGAGGTACCTGGGGTGGGTATGTAACCTGCCTAACTCTCCAATCGTGAGGGTGTGGAAGAGCTGGGGGGTCGCGAGGTCGTTGAGCAGTTGACATGTTAGGCGGAGATTTTGGAGGGTTGCTTTGTCGGTGCTGGTGTCGAGACTGTTTACGACCAGGCGGACGATGTCGAGGGGGATTCTATCTAGGGCTATATTGGACACTTGGGGCATTTTATAGTTGCCAGGGCTACTTGAAAAGTAGCGATGTGGGATGTCTAGTCGATAACTAGATCATACACAGTGTATAGAGTCGCTGATCGGAATTACGAAATGTAATCAATGAACCTTGAAGAAGTGCACAGTGTCCTGTTTAGCCTCGTGAGGTCCGCGGCTGAAATGCCCCCCACTAGTAGCGGGATTTGACGACACTAAATACTTAACACTTAATTGGTGGGAGAGACATGTTAGTAAAATATGCATTAGTTTTTTGAGACGTTTGTTGGGTTCCAATCGTGGCTTATGGTATTGATTTTAAATTGCACATCTGATAACTTAAACCAAATACAGTATATAACGCGAATGGCGTATGTCCGCCCGAGGCCGTGAAAGGCCCGCCTTAGATGGAAAACGTCTTAATGGATGGGTGAAATCCCGGCTACAGTTGATGGAATCTGAAAATCATGATATTGGCGCGTTGCGAGGGCTAAATGTGTAGGATAAGTATACTAGAACCTCCCATCCAACGAGCTAAGTATGTTCCAAGGAATGACCAGAACCAAATGCTCACGCCACCCTAAACAGTGGCACAGTATCTACACAATGTCTATACCACACTATCTAATAGTAAATCCACCATCAACCCTAATATCCGCACCATTGATCATACCGCTAGAGTCCTATCAAATCAGTTAGCGCCGACCAAACCCTCTCCACACCTCATCCTCTCACCTGGCAAAGAAAGCTGACCGCATCAGCGACCTCCTCCGGCAGAGCAAACTTCCCAGTCGGTATAGTCTTCAAAAAGGCCTCTCGAACGGTCTCCTCTCCCCAAGCCTTCTTCCCGAGATCCGTCCACGCCACAGTGGGCGACACCGTATTGGCCGTGATACCGCGCCCACCCCACTCAGACGCCATACTGCGCGTCAACCCCAGCAACCCCGCCTTAGACGCACAGTACGCACCATGCCGATGCAGCGCCGCATGCGCCGCCTGCGATGAGATACTCACGATGCGTCCAGGAGGCGGGGGACTCGGCGCCGACGACTCAGCAGCCGCCTGCGACGCTGCGAAGTACATCCTCGCGAACGCCTGCGAGCACAGCATCGGACCCATAATATTCGTCGTCAGGTGCTTGAGCGTCTCCTCAGGCGGCGTAGCCTCCATATCGCTCAGCGATACATAGCCGGCCGTGTTGATCAGGATGCTGGGGAAGGCGCACTCCCCCGTCGACGACGAGGAAGGCGCCACCGCGTCCCGGTACAAGGCGTCAAACGCAGACTCAACCGACTCCGGCGAGGTGATGTCGCATTCATAGGCGCGAATATCGCCCCGTTCGGGGGCGGAGACGCCTGCGTAGCCGGCTTGTAGCAGCTCGTCGCGCCGGGCTGTCTCGAAGGGTGCGTAGAGGATGGCGATTCGGGCGCCTTGCTCGCGCAGTTTCTTGCCTATGCTGGTTCCGAGTCCTCCTGTTGCAGATACGGAAATTCCGAGCGTCAGTCGATTTACATCTCGTCTTGTTGATATTTTGTTCATGTTTTCTACCCCCTTCCCAGCCCTGACCAATTACCCCGCACGCGGGAATCTGTCCCTACCTAGGCCTCCTGGGAGAATAGCGAGTCTGCGCGCAAACGCCATGATCTCCACAGCTGCTGAAAAGGTTTAAGGGCGATCGGCTTTGGGTGGTCGTTTGAGTGATAGTAGCTAGGGATGATTGTGTGCTGGGAAGGGGATTTCGACGCTATGGCGTAGCTATGGAGGTATAGACGACACTACTGTGTAGATAGTCGGTCGGGCTGCAATCGGTGATGTCATTGTTGTGTTTGTTTCCGGGCAGGAAAGCGGTAATTATGTCAGCCATTAGAGCCGAGGTCGGCCGTGTTTGTTCTGTTTGTTGCGGGGAATCTTGTGCACTATTTCCCAAGAGTTCTACGGTGATGAGAAGAGTATAACTTTGTTGATCGGGATAATTAAACTTCAAGAGAGGAGTAGGGGATGTGAGGGGAAGGGGAAAAAAAAGAAGAACAAAAGAAAGGAAGAAGGCGGACAGAGAGGAGCGGCAATGGCCAATGAATTCAAGTATAACGGTGATCCCCACCTGGGTATATGGTTCTCTTTCCGAGCCCTCCGGAAAGCTGCATATCCTCGGTCTGCAAGGTCAATATTGGTGCTTCCAATGAGATAAGAAAATTATTGAGAAGCTTAGCCCTCAGGAAATATCCTATCAAAAGGCCGACATATTGACATGGTCACCACAAACAATTTGAAGGAAAAGTGGGATACTGAGGAAGTATGCTGGGATGCATGGATGATTATTTTTTCCTTGCAAAAGGATTCGTTGCGCGTTTGAGATCACATTTCAGAAGCTATAAGGACTCAAGTCTATACTTTCTATGGAGAATGTGGATTATATGATGGAGGCAGAGAGAGTCCAGGCACGCACGACTGGAAGCCGGTTTTTGCTGAGGGTATACAGAAAATTCGGACGTCCTATAGCCACTCGACTATCGACCAGAGAGTATGAACCAGAATCAAGAAATAGGATCAAGTGCGCAACATCGGATGAGGAAGTGATCTTTCACACAGGTAGCATGGGCAGAAGCACGAGTTACAGTACAAGTCATGGTTGGATAGTGCCAACTCAGATCGAAGCGTGCATACATAGTACGTGGTAGATCTGTAGATCTATTTGCTTTGCATACAAGGAAGAGAGTACTCTTGTGAACGGCCTCCATGGCATGGTTTGTCAAGACTCCTGCTCAATCGGTAGCAGGCAGGCCGTCGGACAATTCGGCTTGCGAGCTATTGGCAAAATGCAAATTCTGAAGTGGCCCATGTGGTGGAGTAAAGAATCGGCACATGGCAGGAAAGTCTTCGCCCTGCCTTGGTTTTGCTTCGGGATAGTCGGCTTAGTTTCCCCATGGGTTATTCAAGTTATTCCCATGCAGAAAGATTGGCCTCCCTGCCAAGGTGAGCCAAGAAGTCGTGGTTGGGTTGGTAGTTCAACATTACATATGATCCGCGCAGGGATGAAAGCAGCGAGCGCCCAGCATACCATGGACGAATCTGCTGTATGAAGGAATGCATATCATTATCCTCCCTTTTCGCTTTTCCCCAGCTTGGAGCCGGGAACAGTTCTGGATCCCTGCGAGCCACAAAATTCCTGAACGAGACCTCGCCGTCCGGAAGACGGCATGCCCTAGCACAGCAACTCTCTCCGACGCTGGTTTCTTGCTCGGGTCCGAGCAGTGGGAACATGGTCCGTGGTCCCACATGCTGATCATTGTAAGATGGTCGTACGTGTATTACGCGGGGCTACACCCACGGGTTCCCGGGAGGCTGATTGGAGGCGTAATGGATGGTTTTCCGTCGGAACGGTAGGGTACCAAGGATGTGTCAAAAATTCATGTCTATAAAGTAAAAAAAGAGGAATTGATGGTGTGTTGTTTCGGATACTTGAGTCTATCATTCGATTGGGTAAAATATACAGTAAAGATACTTCGTTCTCGGTGGACTTACTACCACCAAGGGCTCGTATAGATAGAGCCCTTGGCATCATGATGTCAAGGATTCAAGGGACTGAGCCGGTTAGGCCGGAGATTGAAAGTGGATCTTCACCTCCATTCTCGAGTACAACGTTGGATACTGATTGGGAGACTCGACGTTCGCCAAGGTTCTTTACCCGCCAAGTCCGCCAATGCTGGCGGCGGTTCTCAGCGGCCGTGGGAGGAAGTTATCTGCGCAATTTACTTTACTAAACCACGATGGCATTGTTTTGGTCTCGAATTACCCGATTTTGAAAATTTTCTGGACGGCCGATGGTCTTGGTTCGGGTGGTTACTCTTTGGGTACCATCCCGGGTTTGCCGGGTGTCCTATAAAGCCCGGTCTGACTCTACTCGTCACGCCCCGATTTGCGCTCTTGCCCTCATTTTTCGCCCTTGATACCCTTCTGCGAGACGCCAGCCTCTCCCCAACCCATCGTTCCTCATTCCAGCTTTACAAAAACCATAAAAATCAACACTTTTTACTACCTTTAATACCGCCCAAAAAAACCACACACAAAATGCAGTCTTGGCTCCTCAAGTTTGGCGCCATCGCCGCCCTGGCGCAGACCATCTCCGGTGCCCACATCTACGTCAAGACCACCAACCCTCCCGCCAACAGGTACGTCTCGCACTGCACGGTGATCATCGACGACGACCTGTTCGGCTGCAGCGGCAGCTCCAAACCCTTTTCCGAGGGCTGCGGTGGCAACCGGGGCGTTTCGAGCCAGAAGATCTGCGGTGACGGCGAGGTCGAAGTCAACTGGCACTCGGGCGAACTCGTCTTCACTGCCCCCGATGGACAGCACGCCAACTGCACGCTCAGCACGTCGCGGAGCGGTGGCGAGTGTGACACCGAAGACCCCAACAAGTACCCTCCCGTTCACTTCAAGAACGCCGCTAGCGGTCCCGTGAACGTCAACAACCTGCTGTACGGAATGGGGTCGGTGGCCGCGGGCCTGCTTCTTTAAATCGTTTCTGTTTATTCGGAGTGCTGGATCTTTATGAGTACGAGGGGTTGCGCTGGATGGTTGATTTGGTAAGATATCTGGTGTTTTTTTGGTTTCTTTCTTTCTTGTATATTTGAATTACTATACTTCTTTTTGTATGTATATTAGCACCATGGCATCTGACAGTATATTCTACGATTAGGGACCGGATCTCATTAGACCTGATTTGTACTGATACTTAATCTCATAATACACATATAGTCTACCTCTGTTTATACCCAATGATTGATTATCTATTATTCTCCACTTCCAGTGGTCGCTGATAAAAATCCCAATGAAACCTCAGGTCTATGCAAGCCAGAAATTCCGGACCCACGTGCAAACTTTTTGTCCCGAACCAAAGTCTTTAACTTCACCATAAACATCCTATTGGTCCTCCTTGCAGCAGACTCATCGGCACAATTAACCTGTTCCTAGTTAGAAGCCCTTTCGCCCGACCTGCCCTTCGGCCCCAACACCTGACCGACCCATACAAATTTCCAGACTCCAATTTCCATCGCCCCGAGATATCCACCTCATTGAATGTCTCCCCGTTGACAAACACCTGACAATAATTGACCTTGATGACAACGTCGTTTCGAGTCTATCCTGAGCGTAGTATAAGTTGCTGACAGCCGAAAGGATTTGCGGGGCTCGCAGGATCGATGTGGGCCGATGATAAGTCCTCCCGCCGCTAACGGGTCGGTGGATCAAAAAGCTCGGGCACGGTTCGTGCAGCCCTATATACACTTGTGATACGTCCATTTCTCTGCATTTTGAGATATAGAAATCCAGTGATGTGTTCGTGTACAGATGAAATCGCCAATTCTTTGATCTTTGGAGTTTCTCGATTTTTTTTTTTAGGATGCCTTTGATTCCATAAAACTTACTCTATCTTGTCGTGGCTTGATGCTTCGCCCGTTGAATTGACTTGATTCCCTTACTTTCCCAGATGAGATTTGTGAGAGTACCTGGAAGCCTAAAGCTACTACGCGCCTACTCTTCCTTTTCCGAGTCGGTTGTCAAGGTTGCAATATTGATGGCCATTGATATAGCGTCGCTCGGACCGATTGTGATGCTCCGAAACCGTGCCTTTTATTGGACCAAGGCTGCTCCCGGTGAAACAAACTGACGATCACATATACTCCAGCATTCGGCATGTGTGATGATTCACCGATCAAGGACATCCAAGGACATCAAATCATTTGTGATGGCGCTAGAGGTGGTTTTTATTATCCTTGAGCTTTTTTCTAGGTCGAAAACCAGTCAGGACTAATGGTATTCAGGGGTGATCACTTTGAATACGGTGCTTCCTCAAATATCCATTTTGTTATAATGGCTCGTACAGTTCCTAGCTTGTATCAAGAGACTAGATATATTTGCAGAAACATACTACACCGGGCATCTTTTGAGCATATGGTGGCGTCGCCATTCAAGGATAGGAGGTCATTATAACAAGCAAAAAGAATTTCCACACACTGCTCAAGCTGACTGGTTGTCTACCAGTCTGTACTTTTTTTCTATTTTGGAGAATCTGTTACAGCACAGTGATCAAGATCTAATTTCACTTATAGTGCTGTTAGAGCTTGTTATTTGGTTAAATGCTCTTGAAATTAGCCATGTTGAATTTTTATTTATCCTATGACCCAATCAATGATAATAACCTTTGCAGGAGAGGCGCTATTATAGCATAAAGACAAGTATTGACAGTGGTTATCTAAGTTTATCACAATAAGAGAGAATTCAAAAAAGAACGTTCTTTTCTGTGTTACCTGGGGGCATGCTAGATTATCAGACCAAGATAAGAAGTTTAATGCGTGGCGTGGCCAATGTACAAAGACCGTGCTTTTTCTGACACTACAGGAAGGCTCACCACGGAATCCAATAGACGTTACGATAGTTATCATATGGTCGTGGGGTCGTGTGATGGAAATCATATATTCTGCACGTTCTCTTACTTCCAGTGACTGGACATATCTTCTATTTTGTGGTATTCAGTTAGGGATATCAGTCGGGTTAAGCCCTATACCAAACGAACGTTGGTCGGCGTTTCGGCGTAGCGGTTAAGATATTGTTCTTAAATTGCATAATTCCAATTGTTCAAATATCTCCTTTCTAATATCATGTTTCACTGACGGATTCCGAAACCACGTACTCTTCTACCGGCTGAGCTTGACGTTAGCCGTTGATAACCAATAGAGTAGGCGTCAAATTTGTAGCTGATTCCCAAAAGAATTATTGTATGTATAGCATGTTTTTCGTATGTACTTATATTATATTAGCAATATAGACTGCTGCGGCCCGGGAGTGTATCAACAGCTATGCATAGATCAAATAGAAACAAATAGGAATAAACCGAAGCAAAGAGCACTACACAATCAGGGACTTCCAGTAAATCTACTGGTCTAGAACCAACGGAGAAAACGACCAATGTTTCACATTTGAATTAGGAAGCCATGGAGAAACGCCCATCACCCATGCGACTAGAGTCCGAAGATACTCCGGGCACACAGTTCCCTAGCGGCGATTTGATTCCCGAGCAATTAATCTGCAATATGCCACTATTGCGAGGGGACGATCTGGCCTGTCTTTAGCCAAGCGGACTGGTATAACCAAATTAAGGGGCACCAAAACTTTCCAATATGGTCTGGCACATGCGAGAGGCGACGGGAAAGTGCGCTCGGATCTGAGTGAGCGTGTCGATCAGGAGTCGAATGCGTTTCTCGTCACGGTCAGCAGGAGCACCGAGGTTGTGGAGGGAAAGAACGTGGTTGACGAGAGAAGTAGCTGCCATGTAGATACTGTATACCATGAGCGGGACCATCTTATCGGGGCCAAATATTTCCTTGTAGGTGAGTATTGAATTGGTTAGATAGACTGCGCTTTCGTAGATGACCTTCGACGAGTTGGACGGAGTATACTGATAGGTGTCGTTGATCGGGGCAGCATTTTCGTGGTCTTGTCCGAGTGTCGATTGGAGTAGCGCGCGATGCAGTACGATTTTCACACTGTGAAACTGGGTGTTGTACGTATATCCCGCCATGTCAAGCTCTCCGACTGACGCGAAGAGAGCAGGAGGGAGTGCATCATAATGGCTTTGGAGACTCTGTTCCAATTGTAGGATATGGGTCCTGGAATAGCTATCTAGTGGGACGGACGTCGTCATGATATCCCTGATTTCGGCGATATGCATACAGAGGTCAACCCAAACATGTAGCATTCTGTTTTGCGCATAATTCGGGGTTAAATCTCGGACGGTACACAGCATAGACGGCGGTATCGCTCTCGGCTGCCTGAGGTGTATACTCCAGAGAGTGTCGTATACGAAAGTACTCAAGTAGATGGTGGATCGGTACTGAGTATCTGGTGACATAAGGATGTCTCTCGTCATTGCTGGATCAATTTTATCGTGTCCCAGATCAAAGGTGATCATACGACATGCGGTCCCTGTTAAATAACAAAGCATGAGCTAGCTAGTCTTTGGATGGAACGAGAAAAAGAACACAATCAAGGGCAGTTACTAACCCATATATGTCCATGCTTGGCGATCTCGACCTCTGGTTGTTTCAAAATCTGCTAGGAGAACAAAACCCTGGGCAGTCGCAGGTGTTGGGTCTTCAAACTCCACATGGATAGACTTCATGGCACGGTCGATGTATAGTGGTTCCAGTTTGCGAATCGCGGAGGATGTACTAGCCCGAGAGGCACACGCCAGTAAAGTGTCCTCTAGAAATGGCGAGTAGTACTGTGATCGAACTCCAAGTTGGCGATGCGAGAGGAAATACTCCTCGTGTACTAGCCATGGTTGTAGCGATGGACTTCGCCAAGCTATTTCCAATAGCACTTTCTGGACTAACTGTCGCTTCAGTGCCGATATCTTCCTCGGCCCCCGACAATTGTATCTCCGATTTAGTGGATGGCCGAGAGGTTAAATCCTGCTTTGGGCTGTTGTCTGTGGCCATATATGGAATACTAAGATGATGTGCAGACCCTCCTGGGGTGTATGCTAATACGTTCGCACTATTCGCCACAGAAGTACTCATGTTCGGGATACCACTCAAGCTCGAGTGGTTTCCATTAATCTGAAGCAGCTTGGGAATGTCTGGCCTCTGTAGTTGACAATCGGCTATGGTTGAGGTATCCGCCCCTGGGATAGAAAATTGGGTATTTTGCCCAGCGTCTTGCGACCGTCATCTTCGTGACGTATAAGCGCATTGTGATGACGGTTCTGAGCCCGCATCCACGTCTGTAGAAGATGATGGTCCCTTCTCATGTTCATTTGAAGCAACCAACTGCTCTCTCGCGTCACCGTGCGGTCGAGGGTTCTCTGCGATGAACGCTTCGAGAGACTGGAGGCGATCCTGCAAAAACGCGACATGGCGATGAGATCCGTATCTAATATGAACAATCAGACAGATTGCTACATCTGGTTCGTAGGACAGTCACAAACCTCCGGCGATCGCTGTTGTGGGAAATTATGCACTCAACATTTGCCACGCGACACTTTGTACAGGCCTCGCCATGCGCAATTTTCTGCACATCACACTATACAGAAAATTTACACTTAATACTAATTAACTCCGGCAATATCAACGGCTTTGCGCCATATTTAGTGATATACCTTGGCTTTGCGCTTGCGACAATTATTGCATGCAGTCGAGGCGCGCGGGCGATGTCGTGCACTTCCCATCATGCTTATTCTGAACATTGGAGCTCCGCCGTCAACGGCATTCCAACCTGTCATGGTGATCATGGAGAGGTTGTATGCATCGCCAATATATGGGACGCGCTGGAGTTACCGCGTCTTGGAACACTGAGATCTCTTGCCTATTCCACTCAGGGCATACAGACCTAGTTGCGTGATGTCATCACGTCCAGAGTCAAAGGACCCGCAATTGACTTGGATTGGATGACAAGGGCTCTTGATCTCTTTTCGACTAGTTATTTGCTGTCCTGTATGTTGAACTTCTCTGCCCCTGCGATTATCGTAGCAATGACAAGAACCGAGGTCGAACACTTGCCATCCCTTTCGAACGCAAAAGTACCCTATGAGGTAGACCGATGAGCAGTTCCGAACCGCACAACATAATGCTTGGATTGGAATTGGTGGGCGTAGCAAGAGCTTTGGATTGCCGGTGGGTATAGATAACAGGTATAGCATGATCTACATAGTTGATTGTAAATCCCGACGAGGATCTACAGTATTCGGCCTTTATTGTGGACCAGAGGGACGTGATCTGCATGTCGCTTTGACAAGCCAGATTAGACTCATTTTGCCCTTACATTTATGCGACTAAAAATCAACTCTATCTGGGGTCCACCATCATGGGAGCTTTGCCAAGCATGAAACGTGAGATGCTACAAAATGCAGGGGTTGAGGACTCCAAATCAGTGTATGACATACCTCGACAAGTGATTGAATAGCTTTATGTCCTGCTTTCTTATTGGTATTTTCTTCTCACTAAAAACAGTCGGCTTCGGGCTCTTGATCGTGGATGAACTTTTGAGTTACCCGTTTAGTAAACAGTCTATCCAGTCCCCGCGTCGAGTCCCCGATATTGTGCCATGAACAGTTGATCATCGAAAGTTCGTTGATCTGCAATTCGACGGAATCACGCAAGCATCGTGCCCGTTGACATGCTTGATTGACCAAGTTGTAGAGCATCATATCCAAGAAGGGACCCAGACCGTGACTTACAGCAGAAGAACGCTGTAGGCGTGTCGCGGCTTGACGAGTTGGAGTAGAATTTTCAGACAGCCAGTTATATGCCCTGCAAAACCATACATAGATGCATGTAATATATGCCAGGAACAAAGCCTGTTAAGCTAGGTTCTGTGCCAGACATTTATATATCGATTCAGTGACGCTGCCGGACTATGCCTCCTCAACACCGAGAGTGGGACACGCAGGTCGGGGTCGGGTCGGGCTCCCACAGACATGTGGTTCGATCGGGCTCCACAGATCAATGTGGACCCTGAACCGAGAAAATCAGGACTATGAAGAACCGATACATTCTGATTGGCGGTATATAGACATGATCGTCCAGCGTATCTACTGTGTGACTTCATAGTATAGGCTCTGCACAGTATGGTCTGGTTCGGGGTCCTGGAGAGTCCGAGAAGACCGAAGCGCCTTCGAACCTCGACCGATTGCGCTGTACTTCGTGCATGTGAGGGTTGGGTTGGAATATTCAGTGCCTCATGAGTTCATATGTCGTTCTGGATGTGTCAAGGTGGTCTTCTCGTGCGTATTGTGATGATGGTTAATGTTGCCATTGCAGGCAGAAACCGCTTGATAGCCTAGTCCTACAGCTTGCTCCATCATGTCTAGTCCGTCTTCGGGAATAGTTTATTTTTTTAGAACCACAAGATGCTGGGCGACTTGCACCGGCGCCATTTGAAGCTATTATCTCGGAAATTGACGATCTCGTTAGCAGTGTCGGAAAATCCGTCCGATAGAATATCCCATCTAGATAGAGAATTAGTGAAAAGACACTAGAAAATCTCTGTTCACCGAAGGCTTCCATAGTGTCCATACCGGAGAAAGATCGACAACAGTAGCTGCTCCACCTGTTGCGGACTCGCTGTCAAAGGTAGTACGATTTGGACCAGACTTTTAGTGATATAGTGTCCTAATCACGTCAAACAATGGCGCAATTATACCCCATTATCACTATTGACTTGGCAAGTAGTAGCAATATATCGTAGCTAGCAGGTCGCGTCAAAGTAGTACTAGAAGCAGAAAGGCTGCACATGAACTTTGGCGAGGAGATATAAAATCAGCAAGCATTTTACAAGCTACCGTTCCTGCACCACCTGCTGGACAGCTGACAGTTCGAGCTCTGTATTCCTATCGGCTCTTGTCAATTTCTCAATATGATTCCTCGAACATACCTACCTTTCTTATTATTGACGGGATGGCCTGTTGCTGCTGGCCCAGCCGTCTCCACCGCCAGCCCGTCACCTGCAGAGCAGCACCAGACCACAGCTCATGATGCACATGGTCCCAACCCCATGCACGATGCCCTAACAGGGCTCCCTAATATCGGACCGCCGACCACATCTTCATCCACCGAATCGGACGAATCGGAAAAGACCGCGATTCCGACAACGAGTGAGGCACAATCGATCGACTCTTCGCCATCTGCCGCGCCGACCAGTGCCTCCGAAACTACGGACGGTCTAGACAAATTACTCGGCGGTGGTTCAAAAACCACTGATGGAGGGGACGCGCCACCATCGCACACATCAACGTCAGATTCGGATTCCAAGCTGCTACCCGAGGGGAGTACGGGTGATCCTCTCAAGGATATTTCTAGTTTTCTGGACGGAGTAAAGGGCCTGTTGTCACCCAAGCTCTTGCCGGACCTTGAGGGGTTGGTACATGACGCAGCACACCTTTTGAAGGCCCCCACGGCCGACGATACCAAGACATTGCTGGGGAGCGCATTCCAGCTGCTGAACCCACACTCCGTCGGCAAGATCACGTCGGCGGTCCACACGGCCCAAGACATCATAACCCCCGAAGCGATCGACGAGCTCAAAAAGGTCCACTTGGCAGAGGCATTTGATGACATTGGGGTTCTCTACTCCAAAAGCAAGGCCTTGCTTGGTAACGCTAAAGGACTTGTCTCCGAGCATGTCATCAAGGATGTCACAGATATTATCGACGCTGTGAAACAATTGCTCACTGGGGGTTCCACCGAGGACATTCAGGATATTCTCGACAAGGTCGAGGGTCTGCTACCAAAGGAAGTTACCGATAGCCTCCGGACTGTTGTCTCGAATGCCGGTCCTCTCGTGAACAAAATCAAGCCCTTCATTACAAACGCGGAAGACTACCTCTCGCATGTGGACTGGGACCGCCTGCACGATGTGGCAAAGAACGGGGAAACTTTGATCGCCGGCATTGCCACCGTTCTGACTCCAGAACACATTCACGCCATCGAGGATGCCATCGAGAAGGCCAAGCCCTACTTTGGAAAGGTCGCGGACTACCTTTCGCATGCGGACTGGAGCCGGCTCGGTCCTCTGGCCAAGAGTGGGGAAGAGCTTATCAGCGCTCTCGCATCTGTGGTGACCCCAGAAAACATCAAGAAGCTCGAGGGCGCGGCGGACAGTGTCAAGCCTTACTTTGACAAGGTTATGGATTATCTGTCCCATGCCAACTGGGATCACCTGGGGCATGTAGGAAGCAGCGTGATAGATTTGATCGATGCCATTGCTTCTGTTGC